CAACAATTATTACCACATAATTAACCCATCCACTACAATCTACTGAAGCTATTTCTTTAATTTCTACTTTATATAGATATAAGGTGGCTCCAGGAACGAGCGCGGGAAGGATATTGAAGAAAGTGTCATTAAATGTGATTGGCCAAAAATCGACCAATCGTTGATTTTTTTTCTATAGCTAGTTTGGTGAAGCAGAAACACGAAAAAATTTTATGTGGCTCGTGCGATGCGTAAATTGTCTGTACAAAAGATATTGTTTATTTTCCGTCCAATTACTGTTGAGTAATTTGTGGGCGTGGTGTACGTAGGCGTCCACTACACAGTATGATGGACAATAGCCTGTACACAATCAGCTACTGTTGGAAGACTGTCAAAGAAAAAACAATCATCATAGAAATATTCTTCATTTATTGAATTTCGCTGTCCTTGATTCACATATGCACTTACTCATCTTGATTGATTATCAAATGAAACAAAATACAATTTGTTAGCAAGTGTTACATTGGACAAATTGAAGATATTACATAGCTTGTAGAACACCTCATTGCAGAAATTGTAAATTCTGGGCGATTTAATGAGAAAAAGGCAAATTTTTACTCCAAATCGGTCTATTTTTGCTTAAAACTGTAAAACCAAAACACCAAAAATATTTTTCTAATTTCTGTGTCGAAACAGCATATAACCATTCAACCATTTGAATCAAAGTCAGCAAGGTTTGTGGCTCATTTTAAAAAGTTTTTGTGGGATACATTGTCATTTTTAGTGATTTTTGGGGCTCCGAGCAGGTCTGGGCACGTTTCTGTCCGGCTCCATTCCAATTTATAAAAATTTTCAAAAACTTGGCCCATTTTTTTTCTATTTGGACACAAATGAGTGGAATAAAAAAAACACTTCCCCACTATTTTGAAAAAAAAAAAAAAAAGGTCTCTATAGCCCACTCCTAATAATTTCTTGATTACTGTAATTCCGCAAATCACTTTAATTAAAAAAATGTAGTGCACTTTTGAAGTTAGGGATTAAGTAGATTATTGTTGTCTAGGTCACCCTGGACTTTCTAATAATAATAATAATAATAATAATAATAAAAATTCATTAAATAATTTAAAAATACCTTCGTTGAACTTAAATTTCGATTCTATTTGAAAGTTAATAATGGCCAAAAAACTAAAAAGCTGGTCTGAATTTAAAGAAAAATTAATTTCCGTATATAAACAAACTTTTTTGAAATTTTATAACATTGACAGTTTTTTCATAAATCATCGAACTGCCATTGTATACGAAAATGTAAACAATAAATTTAAAATTCAATATTTGTCCTAGAGATGTGTTTCAACGTAAATTAGTAAATTTAGGTATTAATTAACTTTATTTTCCAAAAAGAAAAGGTAATGCTTAGCCTTTTTACTTTATCAGTGTTCTGTTCACTATCTCGATCCCACGCTATCCCAACACAAAACTAAAAAAAGTGAAACCAAGTTTCTGTAAAATCACCTTTTTTTATTTTTAGTTTACCAAGACTGGATACGAATAACAGAAAGTTACTTATAAAGTTATGCTTTAATCTCTCTTCCTAGAATAAAATAAAATAATGCTGTTTATGGGAAAATCCTGCATTGTGGCTTAAAAAAAAACAAAACTTTGCTTTGTAAGGCGTCAATGATGACTCAGTTTGGTTGGATCTCACTAAGAAAATGCCCACTCACCTTGAGGGATTGACACATAGAATTACAGGAAATACACGATATGACTGAATTATATAAATCTCTATAACAAACAAAAAAAAAACTTTTTTTTGTTTTTAATTATGTTTTAATGAACTGATGAAGTTGTAAAAAGAATAATTTTACAAAAGTAAAGCAGAGTTATCGCCCTTGACATGTGACTCAGTTTTACATTTTGGACATCTTTTCTGATAGCCCAAGAGCAAAAAGGCAATATCCATCCAACAATAACATTTATTTGACGAGATTTGAACGGTTAACATTTAATTGACTTTATCAATAACTTCTTGCATTATTTAGCTGAGAATTTCTATACAGTCGCCACATTTTTCTTTTTTTGGTATCCGGTAAGTTTTAAAAAACGAGGCATTTTAATTTTATTTTTATATTAAAAAAAAATAGTTCATTTTTTTTTTTTACATAATTGCTTAATGCTTATTATTTCCTTTTAATGAAGTTGAAAACGTTTTTTATCAAATTAAACGACGAATATAAATCATACGTCATCGTGTAGAGAGAGAGAGAGAACAAGTAAAATTTATGTGTACAGTAATAATCTTTTGTTTTGGTAATTGTTGTTTAGTTTCTGTTTAGTTTACTGTTTACAAGTGTCATTGTTAATGATTCCCTGATAAAAGTTATAAAATATTTTTGTTTAAATTTAGTTTCGTGTGTTGAATGTCTACAAAATATAACACGAGTCAAAGAACCGATTAAAAAAAGTTTTGAATGTTAGTGTTTTGCTTTATTTAAGTTAGTTGTATCTTGACTTATTTTATTTTTAACTAAGCAAAAAAAAAAATCCTTCTCTATTGTTGTTCGATTCCAATTTAAAAATATATTTATTTTGTTAAATTTGAATTAATACGAATCTAAAGTAAACTAAAAAAAAAAGCCTTTAAAAAATTCAAGTTAAAATTTAAATTAAATACGAGGAAATACAAGAACATTTTCATTTGATCTTGTCTTAATTTTTTATGTTTGTTTTGTTTTTCTAACAAAAATGTTGTTTTTTTGTTTTTTTGTTTTTTTCAAGGAAAATTACTTATTTTTTTGGAAGTGGGGAAAATCATGTATTTATTATCACCATGCCCCCTTTTTTTTAAGTTTTTTATTTCTTTTAAATTTTAAGTATTTTTTGGTTTGAATGTATATAAATAAATAGTAAAGAAGTGTGTACTTTAGTTAAAGCAAATAATTTCCGTAACAAAAAACCTTCTTGAAAAAAAAGTCAGTTCGCAGTAAATTTAAGATTTAAATTTAAAATCCTAAATTTACTGCGAACTGACTTTTCAAATGATTGTTGAATAATTGTTTTCTAAGAAAACTCTCTGGCATAAAAAAGGGTATTTTTATTAAAAGAAAAAAAATCAGTATAAACAGCGATTTATTAAAGATCAAGGAAACAGCAAAGTTTTTATGTTATTTTTTAACATTATGATTATTTAAAATAAATATAATTTAATTATAGATTTATATTTCGTGTCTCCAGATTAAATAATAAAAAACAACAACAACATTTGGAAGGAGTTTTTTTCCCACATGAACTTTTCAAAAATTAGAATTTTACCAGGACTTTATTTTTATTTTTTGATGAATAGTTTTAAAAATCTATCGTTAGTCAAAGTCTGGTACAAGGCTTCGTTTGCTACTACTGTACTTTTTAGCAAACAAAAAATTGATGCATCCTTGAGGTTCCTGCACTCAATTTTATAATAAAACTTTTAAAGATGAATCTAAACAGGTGTTGTCCTAGATTAGAAGAAAACTTGTGGTAGGAGACATTTGAATGTTGATTTTTCTAAGGCCACCGAAAGTATAGGGCACCCAGTGAGGATCGAACTCAGTTGTTTAGTTAAAGAATAATGGGAAAAATTTCCGGAAATTTTACTTTCTAAAATATGGTAGGGTTGATGACTGTCTGAAGAGTTGTTTTAAAAATAAATTTATAAATCAGAACACTTCTTATTTTGATCTTCTTAACTAACTAATCAATACCAAAGGGCTTTTTGTTACTTTACCTGTCAATGACTGAAAAAAAAATGTTAATTTACTAACTACTAATCCTTCTATTTAATATCGCTCCTGGTCTTCGTTTTGTTTGATTTATTTCCAATTTTCCATACATTGCTTTCTTGGAATTTTCATTCATTTTGGGTTTGTGTGTGTGTTGGGGGGGGGGCTACACTTCTTTCAATCCATATAAATTTAAGTTGATTTTTGGAAGAATGAGGATTATCATCCACTTGTTAACCAATTGGCAATGCTTTTTTTCACACGCTTCAACGGTTTCATGTTGACGAAAAGTTGCTCATCTTTCTGTTGGCCTAAAAACACGTCAGCCAATGTTGGCACTTTAAAGTTTCGATTTTAAATTCAATTTTTTTTGTTTTCTTTTTATCCAAAAATAATTCTGTATTAAAATATAAAATGTTGGTTTAAGGCAACATGTGCTTGTTTCAATTTAATTGGAAATTTTTACTCTGACTGATAACTTTTTAATTTTTAATCTTTTTTTTTTTTCCTAATAACTAAGTATGTAAGCCTTAAATGTCAATGGTGTTAGAGAGCGAGATCCCTTTTCCAAATGTAGGGGAAAATGTTTTTTTTTTTAAACTAAAAAAAGCAGAAACCTTATTATTCTACTAAGACATTTTATTTTTATTTATTAATTTAAAATAAATGTTGGTCGTAAAATCTTAAACTTTTCGCGGTTTAGTTGTAAGGTACATCCACTTGTTTTCGATAACTAAAAAAAAAGTTAGGTTTATAAAATTTTTTTTTTTTTTTTATAAATAAATGAAAAAGCTCTGGAAGCTTTCAGCTTTAAACTAAATCTCATTTTGTCTTTCATCAAATTAAAATGTCGAAGAAAAAGTTCATTTTTTAGAAATCAATTACCAATTATTTTCTTTCTCGCATAATAAAATGAAACCAAAAAAATATACAATAAGAAAGCTTACATCATTTTTTTTTTTCATTTTTTTTTTTAGTCTTACCTGCGTAATAAAAAGATTTCTAAAAATAGTAACAAACTTTTTCTTTGTAAAATAAATAGGTCAACTTTGTTTTTGTTTTTTTTCCAGCTCATATCTCATCCTAGGAAAAAATGTAACCAACGTGCATTTCCAGCATTTTGATTGGGTCACTAGTTTTAGTTAGTGACTCATGATGACAGTATTTTCTCTACTTTTATTGATGAAAAAAATCCCCATTTAAATTAAACTAATTATTTCATCATTTGCTATATTACCTTCATATCAAATTCTTTTTCACAAAATGAATTCTTATGCTGAGGATTTATCACGTATTCAACCACATATTCTTTATCAACTTCAACCTACTCATATAGCCAGTTATTTACCCTCAACAAGGTTTGGATCTTTTCTCTATTTCTCAATTCTACACATGTAATTTTCATATTACCGAATCTCCATTCATGCTATATTTAAGAAAAAAAATGTTACCCAAAATTCAACAATTTTTTTCCCTTCATTTATTATTAATTATTATTTTACATTTATATTATTGTCCTCATCTTTGTTGTTGTTGTCACAATGTTTCGACCATTGTGCCCACCAGCCTTCATCAGGTGTATATCGAGCTGGGTAATCTACATACAGGGATTGGTACTATTTTAGCATGCAGTCTACATTTCCTAGTATGAATTTATTACCGGTGTTTAACTTTTGACCTGAGTGTTCCTGATCAGTCAATATAAAAGTTTTATAATGTGTTGTTTTATAATAAAACAACACATTTTACCAACTACAATGTTAAAAGATTTCTATAGATGTGTCATTTTTACAGAGGAAACAGGAGTTGCATTTTTATGGGAAAACAATCTTCTGGATAGACCACAAGAAGCAAACCCTTGTCATTGATGTGGTAGTGTCATGCAAGAAAAACAAAAAAAGCATGACAGAGGTGGGGAATACAGACCTGTACTTCATTGTCCATGAAAGGGGTACCAAACTTCACATTCTGTTCAGAAAGGAAACCCATTTTTCCATTATATGGACATTAATAACAAATTACACTGCAATCTAAGTTTGTGTGAAATTTTAGAATTGGTGTTCTTTTTTCTAATGGAAATACCCGTGAATACAGCAGTGACTCTAACAGGCAAGCAGATTTGTTTTTGGTATTCCTAAATGATATACAAAGTGTGTATCAGTTATGTAGCACCAATGAATTCAATTGTAATGATGACAATTAATGTACTGTTTAGCCATTTTTGATTATTATGATTCCAATGATTATGATTTGTATGGTTACGTGTATGACATTAATGATAAATCATTATTCAATTTGTTTTTAACATCCTGCTGTATAAAGTTCTTGTAGTGTAGGTAGGCTGCACATTGAAGTGTAAAAGTGCTGGTTGACTGCACACTAAACTATAAATGGCCTAGTAGACTGTACACTAATGGTTATTTCACAGTGTAGACTACAGAAACTGTGGTAGACCACATACTAAAGTAGTACCGCTGTGGTAGACCACATGCTAAAGTAGTATCCAGGGATCTCCGAACTGAACCCTTTATTTAATCAATGGAGGTAGACCATTCTACTGCTCATGTCTTAGGGATATTTTGACTCATTCTTAATTTTAGTACTTCATAATAATTATATGAAAATGTAAATGTGCTTGATTAAAAATATTGGACAATTCTGAACCACTGATGTAAAGGTTAAAAGATTAAATAAAAAAAATAAATTTTATGTTAATCAGTGATTATATATATATATATATATATATATATATATATATAGAGAGAGAGAGAGAGAAAGAGATCAGGATCCAGCAGAATAAACTAAAAAACAAATAGGAAATATTTATACATCTAACATGTTTTGCTTTTATTAAAGCTTCATCAGAGAATGAGATATAGAAAAAAATTCCTAGTATTTTTATTTTTTGTGTTTGAATGATAGGATAAAGAACATTATCATCCAAATCCTTCATAGACTAACTAGAATTATGATACATTTACACACATAAATTATACACACGAACACTGCTTGACTAGTCAAATGCACATGAAGTTTGCTTAAACAATGAAAATCAAACAACATAAAAATAAAAATACCAGAAAATTTAGTCCATATTTCATTCTCTGGTGAAGCTTTAATAAAAGCAAAACAAGTTAGATATATGTTTCCTATTTATTCTTACACACACACACACACATATATAATTAATACAAGTAAAAAGAAAAAACAAAAAATCAGTTTTTCTTTTTTGTATATGCACTTTTCATGGATGCAACTATTTTTTGTTTCATGGTTTATGTGTGCACTCGCCTATGTGCTTGTCTTCACATATGTGCATACATGTAGAATGTCATAGTTATTTCTCCTTTTCACTTTATACTAATTCCTTGACCTTTTCTCATTCTTTCCTCTTTCAATTGCAGCCATTTTGACTTTGGTTTTCTAGACATATACTGTTGTTATTAATTCTAGATATATACATATATATTTATAAATGTAAAAGACAATAGTAAAACTGTAATATTAGCCGGCGCGTTTCGTCCAATGTGGACTTTTCAAGGCAAAAACATTAGTTATTATTAGTTACTTTGTTTTAATAAATTCATTTCATTTTTGCCTTGAAAAAGTCCACATTGGACAAAATGCGTTGGCTAATATTACAGTTTTCCTATTGTCTTTTACATTTATAAATATTGTCTTTTTCTACAGGTTAACTCTGAGAAATTTTTCATATATATATATATATATATATATATATATATATATATATATAATTTCACCCCAATAAAGCCACTATTACTGAGTGTTAGAGAATATAAAGAAAAAATACTATTAAAGAGAACAAGAATAAAGAAGATAACAATTGAGATTGCTCTTTAATTTTTGAAGATCAAAGTTAATTTGGAAGCAATAAGCTGGAAGTGAGTTCCACAAGTGAGAAGTGCAATAGAATAATCTTAGCATTGAACTTCTATTTTTATTCATATGTGTGCATATGTGAGTTGGCTTTCTCATTACTTATCTAAAAGTGTATAATTGTTTATGGAATTAAAAATGTATATCTCTCTTGATTTACTTGACATTTTAACAAACTCTTGATTAAAGCCTAAATTAATTCCTATTTTCTATAATTTCTTTTTTCATCAATTTACGAACTTTCCAAAACCTTTCTTGTCTTTCTATTCTTCTTCTTAATTATAAAATATTTTGATGGATTTTTTTCCTGACTTTGGTTGCACTTTCTTTTCAAATATTTGACTCAATCTGTAATTATTTTTATTGTTTTTATTTTGGTGAGCAATAGATATTTTTTCTTTATAATTTATGACATTTAGTTTCACAAGTAAAATTTTTTTTACTAAAACTAAAGCAGCCTATAAAACTACATAAAACCCAATTCACCTCTGAAATTAATCTTTCTTTAATATTTTTATAGTCCTTATGAAATCAGTTTTATTATTTGTTCATAGATATATTTTTCTTTTGTATTCAGTGATTTTCTGATAGAACTGGTTTTAGATTTGAGCATACATATTGAAATTTTTTTTTTAATCAATTCACCCCATGCAAAGTGATAATGCCACTAAGATGCAAGGGGCTAAAAGACTTTAGAAAGAAATGGAAACCCAATCTTAAACAGGAAACAATGGATATTCCTCTACTCCTGTTCAAAAGACTGGGGAGGAGTGTGAACCAGAAGATAGGCAAACCTATCTACTCATATTGAAAATATAAAGCAAGATGAAAAAGTAAAAAATTAATAATTGACAGTGCTTATTTGGACACTAGATTTCCAAAATATGATCAATTACATGTTCTAATATAGAAAAAAATGTACTTTACCTTTCTTCATTTGTACTCTATTTTTAGAAAATAATTTAAAAACCAAATTTATTGATTTTTGGAAAGCATGTCAGAATATTTCCTTTACTTCTTTGTATCTGCTATCACTTGTATCTGTTCCCATTTTCAGAATAAACCATGGTCCTCTTCAACAACTGCCACAGTCTCTGCCTCCACATCAGTTTCTGATTAAACATCCTACTCAGACTCCAGGTCAGCCTGTGTCACCAGCTCTGTCTCTGGCTCAGCATCTGTCACCAGCTCAGTCTCAGGCTCCGGCTCAGCATCTGTCACCAGCTCCGGCTCCATCTCAGCATCTGTCACTAGCTCCGGCTCCATCTCAGCGTCTGTCACCAGCTCAGCCTCTGCCACCAGCTCAGGCCGCATCTCTGCTTCCACCATCAGCACAGGCCCCAGCCCAGCCTTCACCACCAGTTCGGGCCCTGGTTCAGCTGCCACTCCTAGTGTCTCCACCTTCACCTCGGTTTCTAATTAGGTCTCCAACTTTGATTAAAATCCTTTCTCCAGCTCAGACTTTGCCTCCAGCTCAGACTTTGCCTCCAGCTCAGACTTTGCCTCCAGCTCAGACTTTGCCTCCAGCTCAGACTTTGCCTCCAGCTCAGACTTTGCCTCCAGCTCAGACTTTGCCTCCAGCTCAGACTTTGCCTCCAGCTCAGACTTTGCCTCCAGCTCAGACTTGCCTCCAGCTCAGACTTTGCCTCCAGCTCAGACTTTGCCTCCAGCTCAGACTTTGCCTCCAGCTCAGACTTTGCCTCCAGCTCAGACTTTGCCTCCAGCTCAGACTTTGCCTCCAGCTCAGACTTTGCCTCCAGCTCAGACTAAATCTTTATGTTCACTTCACTCTCTGGTCAAATCTTTGCCAGAGTCTCTGTCTGTTTCTCTCACTGAACCTCTCTTAATGGCGGCGCAAACAATAAACATTCAAAGAAATGACCAAGGAAAAAGTCATGTGAGCAGAAATAATTCTGCAAAATTAAAATGTAAGTATTTTGGTCAAACCTTATTTTTTCGAAAATGTATTTTTTCCTTGCATGAAAAAAAATGGTTGTTTCAAATTAGAATTAAACAAAAAAGGAGATATTTGTTATGTACATAAACATTTTCTTTTCTTTTTATTTTGTAAAGTAAAATTAATATATATTTGTATTTGTTTGAGAAGAGTGAATATATTTTCTTTTTTGAGCACAATTTAACCAGTAGACTTTCTAGTTTTTGCAGGTAGCAATTGAATTGTGTTAAATGGTACTACTAAAGTAGACTGGCCCACTCGTGAAAAATTTGGAAATAATTTTTTGTAGATTAGAAGTCCTTAGACCCTCTTTAAGGCATGACGTTTGTCAGAATCAATTTTTTTTTCTTATTGATTTACAAGAGGTGTTCTGTTCATAATATCAATACAGTGTAAAATTGATCCATGACTTTTTATAGTTATTGAACTAGGTGTTGTGTGTTATTTGAAAGTGGGATTACATTACTAATATCTGAATTTTTTAAAGTTTCTTCTCTTTCTTTTTTTTTTTTTTTTTTTAAGACATTTTCTTTTTTTAATCATTTTCTTTGTGAGGGGTATATTTTGGGAAGTACAAGCACAAACATTAGGGAGATAATTATTTAACTCAAATAAAGAATAAACACGTATAGTTTATTATGTAAATTTTTGTTCTTTAGTTAAAAATGTATATATTTGTTTGCTATTTAGTTAAAAAAAAAAGATTTTCGTACACAGAACAATTAGGGTCAGATAACTCTGTCAAAATCAGGGATCAGTTTTACATTTTTACTCTGTATTTATATTATGAACAATATACCCTTCTAAAATCATAAAAACTTAATTTTTTTTAATTAACAAATGTTGCATCTTGAGGAAGGTCTAATTAAATCTCATCTACAAAAATCATTTCCAAAAATAAATGCTTTGCTATTTTTGATGAGTAGCCTAATCTACTTAGGTAGTGAATGTTAAGCTTCTTGCTCCCCATGTACCTAATCTGGACCCCTTCACAACAACATTGAATCATTTGAAACTTTAAATTTTTACTTGCTGAAAATTTTCTGATATATATTTTGTGCAAGATCTGATTGGTAGCGCAGAATAATAATTCAAATAAGTAAGCAAATAATGGATTCCACAACAACTGATCTTCATCTAAGTTGCATGTCTCTTCAAGATGTGGGCAATCATGGCTCTCCACAACATTCTATTCTTTTGATAAATAAAACAAAAAGCATTAATCATAATATTTTTTTAAAATCTCTGAGATGATTGTCAGCTAGTATTAATTTTTCAACCAACATTTCTATCTTAATTTTGTTTACTTTTTATAAAGAAATAAATATAAAAACAATTTTTTTATTCATAAATTTATAAAAATTTACTAGATTATAAAATATGGGAACCAACTATAATGAAATTTTTATTATTTACCATTTTATAAAATTTGAATCGAAAAGCAATTTACCAATGTTTTGCCAACCATTCCAAAGAACACAATTCGTCAGCTTTGCCGATTAATTTAGTCATGTTGCTTAGTGTTCACTCTTCATTTATCATTTCTTCATCAGTCAGCATTTAGCAGACAATAATCTATTGGCAGATTTTTTTTAGGTATTTTTAGAAAAATTAGCTATGATTTTAAAAAAATTTTTCAAAAAAGATTACGGAGCTGGGTAACCTTTTAATTGCTGGAGTTTCAGGCCATGCATTTTTAATGTAATGAACTTTTCTCCTTAGATCCTGATTATTAAAGAAAAAATTTTTTTTTTTTGTGTGTGGGTATAAAGGTTTAAATTTTGCCAAATATTTATGAGCACCAAATATCAAAACTGTTTTAAGAGATTTTAAATGTTTTCTTTCCAATATTGTTAAAACTTTTATCATTTTGATATCTATCGGCATACTCTACTCACTATCTGTTTACTATAAAACTCATGTACTTATTGTAAATATTAGCAACCATTTCTCCGGTTTCTTATCAGATTTTCAAAGTTGGATGGTTCAGTCTGAAGAATCCCTCCAGAAACAGCATGCTGCCTTTCACAAAGCATCTTTTGGTCAAGTTTTATTCTGCTGTTTTACACTTGATTCTGAATGGTTCTTCTGTCTTGAAGAAATTGGTCTTCCCGTGAGAGCATGTCGGTGAGTTACAAATTTGTTTTTGTTTTTTGTTTTGTTTTGTTTTTTTGTTTTTTAATTCTATAGTTTTTTCATTTTATATTTTTCCAGATTTAACAGAGGAATAATTTTTTCTTTAAAAAAAGAAAAGATTTTAGTTTGTCACTTGTATATGTTTTTTTTAGTAATAGCTAATTTTACAAAAAAAATCATACATTTGAATCAGACACAAAAATAAAGTGATACAAAATAAATACTATTAATAGGTATATATATATATATATATATATATATATATATATATATATATATATATATATATATATATACACACACACCAATCCCTTTCCCACAGATAAAATGTTACAAGTCTCTCACTGCTCTGTTGCTATTTCCATGGGAAGTGTTTAGACGAAGTATGTTCCTTAGTTTCACCAGATCTAAACTTCACAGCTAAGACCCCCTCATGCTACACTTATTGTAACGAAACACATTCATTCTCTTCATATTTCATTTGTGAGATGAAAGTTCCATTTAAGCAGCTTCTCGCAAGAGGGTGTTTTTCTGATCACTACAATCTTGACCTGTTCAAGTCTAAGGTTAACTGTTATCTTTCCCACATATCTGTATAAACTGTGCCTCTTACTCTGTAACCCTCTACCACGAGTGGCTCTCGGGCCATATACAAGGTGAACTCCACAGTAATATATATATATATATATATATAGTGTGTGTGCCACACACATTATAGATGCATTTAGTCATTTATGTATACATCATACATATGCTTACATTATAGGTTTTTTATCATTATTATTATTTTATTTATTTATTTATTCATCTATTATATTTTTATATATATATATATATATATATATATATATATATATATATATATCATTCTATGTATTATATTGGACACTGGGGTTTACCCATATATACTTCCCCACCTTCTTTATACAAACTTCTTTTTTCTTCCCTCACTTCTCTCTCTTTAATTATGTAAGCCAGCCAAAAGATCTTTAAGGCCAAGTTAATTCCACTACATATTATTTTTTGGGGGGCTGGTTTATTTTCAAATTGTTTGGCTAAATTTGTATCATTTAATAAAATGTAGTTGGTCTGATGAGGCAGTTATATATAAGTATATCTGCTGAAAGAAATTACCTATCATTGCTAATAAATACGTATTATCTTCATGTATTTATTAGTAATGATAGATAATGGATGATAGAAGTGGATAAAGATTAGTTATCAGGCTTCATTAATTTAACTTTATAAATAAATTTATTTTAAATTATTGTGTGTGTGTGTCTCTGTCTATTAATGATAGAGATCAAACATTTAAATTATTGTGTGTGTCTCTGTCTATTAATGATAGAGATCAAACATTTAAATTATTGTGTGTGTCTCTGTCTATTAATGATAGAGATCAAACATTTAAATTATTGTGTGTGTCTCTGTCTATTAATGATAGAGATCAAACATTTAAATTATTGTGTGTGTCTCTGTCTATTAATGATAGAGATCAAACATTTAAATTATTGTGTGTCTCTGTCTCTGTAATGATAGAGATCAAACATTTAAATTATTGTGTGTGTCTGTCTATTAATGATAGAGATCAAACATTTAAATTATTGTGTGTGTCTCAAACATGTCTTATTAATGATAGAGATCAAACATTTAAATTATTGTGTGTGTCTCTGTCTATTAATGATAGAGATCAAACATTTAAATTATTGTGTGTGTCTCTGTCTATTAATGATAGAGATCAAACATTTAAATTATTGTGTGTGTCTCTGTCTATTAATGATAGAGATCAAACATTTAAATTATTGTGTGTGTCTCTGTCTATTAATGATAGAGATCAAACATTTAAATTATTGTGTGTGTCTCTGTCTATTAATGATAGAGATCAAACATTTAAATTTTATATATAAAATCTCAGTGACTATAATAAAAAAAATGTTTAAAATATAGTGCCTTAAAAATGTGTCCATTTTTGTTTTTTTCATTGAAGTGTGTATACATTTTGAGAGAATTTTGTGTGTCTGTGTTACATTACTTTAAACATTATTTTTAGTGGATGACCATATTTGAGTAGATGCTGTGTTTATTTTAAACAGTATTTTATTTCGTCTGTCAGTCTGTACATTTGAAAAATCTTATTAAAGAAAATGTGCCCGCTGTCATAATTCAAACCTGTGTCCACCTTCGCAGCAGAAACTTTCATTTGATTTGATGTGCTTTTGCCCACTTGGCTCCGAAGAGCTTCATAATCTAGCAACGTTCTATCTGCTTTTAAAGCAAATTTTATTCTTTCAAATTTCTTTGAAAGTCATAACTGCTCCGTTTCATATCCAATTTAATTTAAAGAAATTAGTAATGCTACGTCTAAGGACTGAAAACTACAGGAGGTTATCCATCTCACATTAAATGGTTGTCCTAGTAAGGAAGATAGATTAAACAAAGTAGTTAAACCTTATTTTAACTATCGGAATGAACTGTCAGAACATCAGAGAATTTTGTTTTACCAAGATCATATTGTGATTCCACAAAATCTTGGAGCAGAAAGGCTATGACCAATACACACTGGACATCTTGGACTAAATAAATGCTGAGAACAAGCTAAAATATCACATGAAAAATAGATGATTTCATCAAAGGATGTGGATTTTGTAATTGTGCTGCAAACCATCATGAAACCTTAAAACCACTTTGCCAGATGGGCTGTGGCAGAAGTTGCAGACATCCTAAAATTGGGTGAGGAGTATTACTTAGTCTTAACAGACTAGTTCTCCCACATTCTACAGAGGGTTATCAGGATATAGTCCTTTCTGTGTAGTTGTTTTCCAAGAGGAAAAGAAATAAATTAGTTCTTTGTGTGTCTGTGTGAGAAAGAAGAGGTTAGTGAGGAAGATGAGTGAATGCGTAAGGGAATTTTGTTTAAGTCAAGCATTGTGGCCTGTTGCCAGTTTTCATCTCTCCTTACTGGTTTATCTCTGGAAACTTTACTTAAATACCTTTCAAAGGGATCACAAAGCATCTTTTTTGTTGTTGGCAGAACACAGCCTTATGGTTGCAAAAATATTAAATATTTATTTTTGAAGTATTAATTTTTTAACCAGGACAATATACAGTCCTCTGACTTGGAAAACATTTTCTTTTGCTGTTTGATTGTATCTTTTTATTTCCGTTTTCATTCATAAACTATATCTAAATAGCAAGCTAGTGAAGAAGTTTATTGAATAATATTTCTTTCCTTTATTACTGATCTATGTTAATTTGATTTGGGAATGTTTTTTGCTATAATTTTCTATATTCTTGTTGGAAAAAAAATTAAATTGAAGCCTGCGCTTTTTTTTTTTTTTCCCCCCAGAGATGAACTGAAAAATTGTTTAACAGATGAAGATCTTGATTGCATGCTTCTTATTGAAGATATTTTCACTACTTTAATTCATCTCACAGTAAGTGTTTTGTTTATTACTTAAAATACTTTTCATTTCATGTTAAACATTGACAATCCCTTTTTTGCTTGATTTTCAGTTAAGATTTAATGCAAAAATTACTGATAAAGTAGATGACATGAAAACCATGACACTGTGGTATGTTTAAGAATTTTAGCTAAAATTCATAATTCAAATCTCACTGCTGAAATCAAACATATCTGACAATGATGACTCATAAATTTTGTTTGCTGTGTACAGTCAATGACAAAATTATTTGTACACCCATCAATTTTGAATATTTTTATCCATTTCTCAGAATCTAAAGTCTGTATGATCCTAGGTTTTTATATGTTAATAAGCACAAAAAAGGAATATAAAACTCAATTTTCAGAACAATAGGTTAAATGCAACAAATTTGACAGGCGAATAATGGAAAATAGGAAAAGACAAAATTATTCATACAGTAGAAAATATTGTTTTAAATTGATTTGTGTAAGTCTAAGTAATTTACATAATTATTTTATTGGTGAAGCCTTCTAGAATATTTGTGATAATTCCAGCAAAGAACATCACGTGGTGTCACCATTGTTATTCTTATGTTAACAACATGATGGGGAAGACAAAGGTGCTTAGCATTGACTTGAGATATAGAATTATTAACTTCCACAAGTCAGGGAATAGTTAAGTTACTGCACTATTTCAAACCGGTTAGCTATCCCTAGATCTACAGCACAGTCCGTTATAAAGAAGTTTAAACAGTTTGGCATGACAGAATTTGCCTGGGCGTGGAAGAAAACCCAAATTGTTACCAAGAACTGTACAAAAACCATATAGTGAGGTTAATATGAATATATATATAGTGTTGTTTTGAAAGACATCGCCAAAAGTTTGGATACAATGGGTATCAGCGAAAGTACTCACACAATAAAACATTGTTTAAATAGAAATGTGTTGTATGGAAATCGAACACAATGAAACCCTCTTCACAAAACATGTCACATTGTTGCTCTCTTTAATTTTGCCAAAATGTTCTTGGACAAAGAAAATTGCTTTTGGGAACAAGTACTATGGAATGATGAAACAAAAATTGAGCTCTTTGAGCATAATGATGAACAGAAAATTTGGCGCAAGAAAGGTGTTTCTTTCCTTCCAAAGAACACATTGGTAACATTAAAACTTGGGGGCGGCTTGATGATGTATTGGGGTTGTTTTAACTGCAGACTATATCCTAATTCAAAATAAAAATCTACAGTTATCAGCGCAAAATCTTCATCTAGGTTGGTGATTTACTTTCCAGCAAGATAATGATCCCAAACATATATCTAAATCAGTGATTGAGGGGCTTCAGAAAAAGATGATTACAGTTCTGCTATGTCCTTCAATGAGTTCTGACTTGAATCCTATTGAAAATCTATGGCAAGAATTGAAAGCTCAAATAAATCATCAGTCACCAAAAAACTTCAGGAATTAGAATGTGTAACCATTGAAGAATCAGGTGATATCACTTTTAATTCTAAAGGGTTTATTTAATCATTGGAACTGCTGCATATCAAAATGGCTCTCTCAAGTTTGTTTATTTAAATTTATCTTTGCATATGGAACTTGGAAATGCTTAACCTTCATGTCCACAAAAAACAGTATGTCAAAAGAATGGTTACTCTTTTAATGCTGCTATTACTTTTTTTACTCCCTTCATAATGTTTATTGTTTTAAAAACCGTTATCACTCTTTATGTTACTTCATTTACTGTACAAAATGTTTATCCTGCCACTGAAGGTGATTCTGATCCCTGAACAATAATTTGTTTGAATTTCATAGTTGTGTTGTCATATCCTGCTATGGCAAGAGAAAACAAACTTAAGTGAAATTAACAATAAGGATACTGCAATTGAGAAGCCTTGAAAAAGAATGCTGTAGAAAGAGAAGTAATAATAATATTACAGAGTATTTTAATAAAACCTAAACCTATGAAAGTAGTTATAGATTTTTATTCTTGAGAATTGACAAAAAAGATATTAAACACTATTTATTTATTAGATTGCTTATTTACAAGAATAATTTTATATTTACAAGATTATAAAAATATGTGAACCAACTACAGTGAAATATTTATTATTTACTATTTTACAAAGAAATAAATAGGAAAAGAAATTTTTTATTCATAAATTTATGAAGATGTCTGAACGAAACATTTAAATAAACATATAACGAGTACTGTAATTATAAATTTTGAAAAATGCATTTTCCTGGCTTTTCTTTCATTTGCTTTTGCCACATAAATTCATTAAAATAGATTGAGAGCATCTCTTTCCCTGAACCAAACATTCTTTTAATTTTAGATTTTAGGCAAGACCTCAGACACTCAATATTTGGAAGATGTATCTCTCTATTCATTGGATGGATAATGTTTTCCTTGCATTTAATTGAAGAATGTCTGTAATTTGTACTGCAAATATTGCATTATCATTGGTTCACATATTTTGATAATTTTGTAATTTTTATAAATTTTTGAAAAAGATTCTTTTCAAATTTATTACTTTGTAAAATGGTAAATAATAAATCTTTATAAAAAGTAAATAAATATGGCATTAGACTTGGTTCATATATTTTTATAATCTTGTAAATAAACATTGTCAAGTGAGTAAAAAATAGTAATAGAAGTGTCAAGTGATAATCATCCTTTTGAAACTTCATTCTTTTTGTGGGCACAAGGATTCAACCTTGCCTGGAACATAATACTTACATCTGTTTTTTTGTTTGTTTTTTTTTCTCTTCTAGAAAAACCATGCTTATTTGGTGAAAATGATGGATGCCGTGGAGAAAATAGAAATGGCTGTGTTAAAAGATACCGATATGTTGGTGGAATATTTATTGGAAAAGGCTCAGCCTCTGCAGATAGTACAGCAGACTTGGTGAGTGTTTTTTTTTTTTTTTTCCTTGCCTGTTTTCAAAGACAATGATTTTGCAATTGTATCATATGAATAAGAAGAAAAAAATAATGAGAATGAGATAACAAAAAATAATATTAATGTAAAGTGCTAATATCAAAATACGATACAAATAAGATAATAGCCAAAAAGCTGTTGATCAGTTCTCTCTCATCAGAGCCTAGTCTTTTTCTTTTTTTCTTTTTTTGGCTAATTATGTTGTATTTTGATATTGACATGGTAATGTTTTTATCACCTTTTTTTTGTTTCCTTTTTAGTTTTTGTCATATTTTTTGTTACCTATTTTTTGTCCACACTTTTTACCGTTTTTTTCACTTCTTTTTTTTGTCTTTTATTATTAGTTCTTTGTCCCCTATTTTTTTGCCGTTTTTTTTTTTGTTCATTTTTTTTTTCTTCTTTGTTACCTCTTTTTTGTTCATTTTTTCTTTTAACATGTCCCTCTTTGTCACTTTAATTACATTTTGTACCACTGCAAAAATATTATAATATATGGAGTTTATATTAAATAAATTTTAATGTTGAATTCAATTCTAATAAGGACATTTTTCATTTGTTTTTTGTTTTCCAGGAATGAAGTTTTCCATCAGTCCGATGCATCTGAGCAAAAGAAAGTTCTGACTTTGTTTCTAATGAAGTTATGTAAGTTTTTCTTGCACCTGTCTTAGATCTACGTTTTCTTGGAATATGTAACAAGTTTCACATGGATGACTTTGCTGTTTGTTCAGTACATTCATGTTAATTCTCTGATTCGTTATAGTGATCTCATGTGATTAAGGATTAATCATCCAAGATAGAGGGGGATTAGCTTTTTGAAGAGACAGCTGGTAACATTGAGATTTAGTGTTTGGGCAGTCAGCACTCTTGTTTCATGTGGGCAGAACCAAATGGTGCCATTTTGGTGTCAATATCAGCAGAAATGTGTCAGATTTCACTTGGTTCCTGCCATCCATATTGTGATCAGACAATTTGACTGAAAGAAGAAAACTCAACTCTTCTCTTATTTTCCTTTTAATTAAAATTCCACAAAGTGAAATTTCAAACAACAAAAAAGTAAAGATGTTTGAAATATATTTCAGCAGTCTGGCCATCAATGTAGATATTACTTGACCCCCCCCCCCACTGAGTCAAGTTGTGACACAAGGTCAGTTTTTAATGTGGGGATCTGAGTGTTTTCACTCAGGCCGCTAGTCTATGCTGGTCTTAGGTGGTCATAGCTTGTCCAGGCTAGTCAGAGCCGGTCCAATCTAGTCGAAGCCTTGATACTACCAGAGCAGGGATGAATCCCTACACCAGGTAAGTATTACTTGCGATGAATGTATGTGGTTACCACAGCTTTCTGATGTTATGAGTAAATCTGTGACAAATGTGCATCCATACAGAGGCAATAGAAGCCCTGAATCATGTGTGGACATGTTTGTCAAAACCATTTATATCCAGGTTTTAATCATTAGCAGTGGCACAGCATGGCATGTCCAGATATGGACCTCTCTGCAACTTGTCATGATCCAGGTTTCTGTCTCCTGACAATAAAAGCAACAGGAAACTCATCAGTGAGCAGCTGGCGAGACTCAGTATCTTATGAAGTCGTTCCCTTGAACCGTTTGTTCCTCAAGTTGTGTGCTGCATGCAGTGCTGTGGTTTCTGCGGCAATATTCTTTCATTTCCTCCTGTATCTTTCACTTCTCTGTCTGTAACCCCATAGTTTTTGGCAGAGTAGTTGATTAGGTGTTTCCACAAACCTCATCTCAACTTTGCTGTATTTTACAACAAAATTTGAAAACATTTATTCAGTTTCATTACCTTTCCTGTGACAGGGTTCACACGGGTCCTGGAAACTTTGAAAAGTCCTAGAAGATTGATAGGGCCTCTTCCAGGTTTGAAAAATCCTGAAAAAAACAGCAATAATCCAAAAAATAGTTCCTTGAAAAGTTCTGGAACTTTTTAAATTGGGCTGCACACATGTCCTTTTTCTCAATTCATGAAAGTCAAAATGGGAAATTCTAGAAATCTGGCTTTTTAACAAGCTAAAATTATCCTTTAAGAAAAATGTTCTTTTTAGTCATCAGTAATATTACGAACGGTGATTTGTTTCCTTAATTAGAACGAGTTCATGAGCTTGTAGTTACTTCTGTATTTTTTCGTCTAGGTGACGAGAAAGAAAGGGAAAACGAATATGAAGGCATGTCTCCTAGCTGCTACCCTCACTCAACAAGAAAAGAGGAAAAGCAAAGATAATAAGGAGTCAGAGACAAGTATACATCATCTTCATCAAAGATAAATTAATTTACATTCATTGAATTTGTAGTTGAAATGAAAATAAATTAATTTACAGTAATAAAATACATTTTAGTAGAAACTTGAAAAATTTATCAGTGTTTTTTTAAAATTCAAACAATTGAAGAAATTTTATTCACATTTCAATTTCAAAAGTAAAAAGTCCTTTTGATCTCTAGTCAGTGGTAGGCGAATTCATGCTGAAAAAATAGATACTTTACATGTCCCATGTCAATGTGTAAACTACATTTGTCTAATTGTGTCAAAAGTAACAAGTTTGAGAATCAAATTTAACTCAAAGAAAATGTATATGGGAAGGATGAAAGAAAACATGCTTTTGATGTGTCTAAGGATAGAATAGAAAATGCATCTTTGAAAAAATAAGAATGTTATTTTTAAAGTTTACAGGTGAATGATGACCTGTATCTCTAGCTTTGGTTGTAAGTGTGGAAAAATAGTTAAATACAAACAAACCTCTCATCATCAGACTAATAGGGGGATTTGTGGTTCGTTATTGTATGTAGATAGGAACATATTATTTTTGAGTTATAAAACCACTATAGTAACTACCACTATTTATGATCATAATGTAAATATTATAAACATGTATATATGGCATAAATAAATATATACTTAATATAGATTTATTAATCTCGGTACCTCTATGAGATTGCTAAAAATGAGCATAGCATGATGAAAAAGACCCCAAACTTGACGAAAACAAAATTTTATTGTCAAAATGTTTGAGGAAAGAACAAAGTATTTTTTTTAATTATTTAAAAAAAATTTTTCCTTCTTTTTAGAACATTCTAACTTTGATTAAAAAAAATCTTGTTTCTCTTTGTGTCAGCAGAATTACTAAATAATTATAGCAAATTTTAGTGCATTTTTTTTTATGACAGACATTAATTTGGAAAATCTTGCAAAAATAAAAATAATTGTTGGATTTTAATGAAACTTTCAGAAACTATTTGCAAATGATGGAAATCGTTTGTTTTCTTTTTTTAAAGTCATGGCATATATATTTTTTTTTATATTTATTACCCACTCCCCAGCTTTTTCATTTTTAAAGATTCATTTTAAACTTTCAGTATCAAAAATTAGAGGAGGTACCTATTGTTAACTTGATTAAAAAAAAAAAAAAAAAAAAAATTCCCAAATGGTCCTTCTGTGTGGTGCTGTCAAACATGAATGACGTTTTTATTTTCAGTGAAACTGCAGATTTTCATGTATGTTTTGAAAGACAAAGCATTTTTGATAAAATATCAGAGCATTAATCACTTGCTTCCTTTACTTGTAGATGATCTTTTTAGCATGATCATGAAACTGTTAAGATTTGTAAAGGAAGAGCAAACTGAAAAGATAATTACATTTTCAAAACTGAATGAATTTGTAAGAATTTTGTCAAACCCAGGCATGCATAAAGATGCTGCAAAGATAGTGTGGATTTCTGGCAGATAGGGCTATGCAAAATTTATTCAAAAAAGGAAATTTGTCAACAAAAGATTTGTTTGCATGCAGAATTGCAACAATGTTTATCACCATCATGTGTTTTTGAAATTGGTGACCATTCATTTTGTGTGTGTGTGTGCATACACATGTTAGTTTCAGTACTTGAAACTTATTAACAAAGTCCTGGAATAGTGTTGGTATTTTTTTACACAGATCTGTGGTAACCCTACTGTGACTTCTATTTTTGCAATTTTGTTGTATTTTTTTTTCTTTGTAATCCTTTCACCCCAAGTAAGGCAATAAAGCCACTAAGACACAAGATGTTACAGAATATGAGAGAATATGAGAAAAAGAAAGCATTAAAGAGAGAGAACAATTAAAGAACCAGAATTAAGAAAACAGAAAACAGTGCTTAAATTCATAAAGTCTAGGTACCAAAGAGGAAAGCTCATTAGAACAATTATCATGAAAATATTTATAGAAAAGGCACAGAGAAGCTACATTATGGTGGTGGGAAAATGACTGATGCCAGGTCAGGACTAATAATATTGCAGATTCTTCTTTGGATTTTATCAAGAATTTGTAAATATATAGCAGGAGCACCAGACCAGATAGAGCAACAATATTCAATGCATGGACAAATAGTAGACTTATAAATGTGCAAGATAGAGTTTGGCAGGGAAAACTGTCTAGCACAACACAGTGAACCAACTTTTTTAGCAGCAGAACTAGCAATTGATTCAATATAATCTTTCTACTTCATGTAAGTGGAAAATGTTAGTCCATGAACATGCAAGGAGTCACTCTTCTGGAGGTTAGCATTAGACACATGCAAAAGAAATTATAAGTATATTAAATAAGATTGATAGAGTCAAACATTTAATTCTTTTATTCATCATTTTCTCCATGAATATTTACATTTCAGATCAACAGCATGTGAAAAACTTTGATAATGCTGTCAACTCATGGGAAAAAGTACGAAATTTATCAATACAGGACACCTATGTAAGTATTCACAAAATTTGAGAAGTGATACATTTTTTTATTCCAAAATAAAAGTTAATTTTTTTTTTTTTTTTTTTATAAAGTTCAACCATTTTTTTTATTATTATAATAAAATTTTTTGTTATGCATTTTAACTACTTTATTACTATAATATATAATATTTTGGCTTTAAATAATCCACAAAAGGTTGATAAGCCATAAAAAAAAAAATCAATCACTTCACTTCTATGGAACTTAGCTTCTAACAAAATGGTTTCTCTTTCCTTCTCTATATCAGTATTTCTCAACAAGGGCACACTAATGTGTACTGAAAGTTAGCCAACAGTGCCTCAAGTTAACAGAAGAGTAATTTATTATTTATTTTTATATTTAAAAAAAAAAAATCTTTATTTTTAAAAAACTAGAGATACCAACCACATGTCTTCATGTCTAAATCAAGTCTTTCTCATTTGATATTTTAAACTGTATGCTAAATTCCTTAATCTTTAATGATGAGTGGATAACCCTTTACCTTTTGCTTTCCTCAAGGCATGAAATACAAGATGTAATATTCCAAAAAATTATCAAAGTACATCAAGCATGGGTTTCACACAGACATACATAAATGTACAATGTAATGCCTTAAAAATAAATGTTTATTTCAGGAGACTTCTTTATTATTTTCATATTTACAAATTTATTTACTAAGTTTTAGTTTCTGTCTATATTTCTGAGATGAGGTATTATGTACATTATTTACATTATTCAGACTATTGTCCTCATCGTTGTTGCCATATTTATTACAACATTTCAGCCATTGTACGCTCCGGCCTTCTTCAGGTGGTTGGAATGTCGAACTGAACCCTTTATTTTGCTCACTGGGGTAATCTGTTCTAGTTCCATGTGCCATGTTTTAATGGATGTCAGTTATCTCCTGTTAATTTTCCCTCTGAAAATTCTCCACTGCCTTAACTGGGTATTGAACTCACACTCTTTGGGTTCTGTTACTGGATATAACCAACACCTTTATCCACTGTGCCATGTGTCCTTGAGGACAATAAAGGGTTCAGTTCGACATTCCAACCACCTGAAGAAGGCCGGAGCGTACAACGGCCAAAACATCGTAATAAATATGGCGACAAAGATGAGGACAATAGTCCGAATAATGTAAATAATGTAAGTTTTAGTTATTCTACAAGGGTGCTCAGAAGTATAAGAAAAAAGAAACCCTGCTCTATATAGTAAGGACATTCTCTGCTAAATGTTATGGGTGTGGTTGGGGAACTGAAAGAAAAAACAAATAAAGAAAAAAAAATGACAAAAAAATCCAGAGGGGGAAAAAAAAAAAAGAAAAAAAGAGACGGCTACTCATAAGGCAAATTTTTAAGATCATTACATTCTTGCAAATATGAGATTTTGCTGGTAACATGTAAATTTCCGACCATTGAAAAGAATATAAAAATCACATTACCAATGGGGGAAAAGGGAATTTGTTTCAGATCTAACTAACATTGAGTATGAGTTTTCTTCAGTGGATGAATGGTAAGAGCACGAGTGGCCATTGCAGTGGAGCCCCTGCAAGATCAACACACTTATGCCCAAGTCTCATTGTCCTGGAGCAGTGTAGATCATACACACGCAGAGAACAATTTGCCACAAATTCTCAATGATACGTGTTTGGATGTGAGAATGGGTAGGAGCTTTTTTGAATTTCCCCCAAGCCACAGAGCACCTGGTTATAATGGCAAACTCACAACCTCCACCTGCACAGAGCATATTCCTAAGATAACAGAAACAGGGCCCAATATACATTTTTGAACCAACCAAAGTGACTTGGGTAGTGTGCCTACTATCAATAAAGTGTGCCTCACCATGGCATCTAGGGCACATGTAATCTGGTAGTTCTGTTAGCCTAACAATGATGCCACTGCATTTCTTGTGCCCCCAAGTGTTACATTTGGGGCACATGATTGAATTTGTACCCACTCCACTGTGGCAGATAATAAAGTGAAATGTGCCAAACTCTTGCAACTTGTCCAAGTCAACACCAGAAAGCATAAATTTGGTCTTTTTCATGTTGACACAAATCCCTTTGTTCTCCATGCACATCTTCCAGATTTTCAGCTTGGCAACACATTCATCCAGTGTGTCAGTGATTAGCACAAGTTTGTTAGCATAGAGAACTTCCCATGGTGCACTAGTGCGGAACTCCCAAAAGAATGCCTCCAACACAAGAATGAAGAGCAGTGGACTCAAGACTGAGCTTTGATGGACAACAAACTCCTTGCTATATTGGTCATTGACTTTAACTCAACTCCAGACATTGCAGTACATACCCTGAACCAGATGAATAGCCCAATCCTCAACTCCAAGGCTCCTCATGGCCCACCATATCACCTTTCTTGCAACACGATCAAATGCCTTCTCCAGATCCACAAAGTCAAAGATGAGAGGTTTCACATCAACAATGAATTTCTCCTGCAGCTGATGTACAATGAAAATTGTGTCAGTAGTACAAAACCATACTGCATTTCATTGATGTTGACCATTTGTAGGAGTTAAGCACACATTACAACTGTTTCATCACTTGATCAGTGACTTTGAGTTCAAAACTTCATATACCAAAAATAAATATGATTTCAAAATTTAAAATATCATGGATCATTTGTAATTGTATGCATGAGTCCCAGTATAAATAGTTATAAATAATTATTGACTGATTTTATCATTGTGATATTTTTGCATTATATTAAGTATATAGTAATTAGGATCTGCAAATTGGAGGAGAGAGTTATCAATGATAATGTTCTTACTTTGAATTTGCTGTTATTTCCCTTCATCTCTCTCTCTCTTTCCCTCCTTGTGACCCAGAAGAAAACAGTTTTGAAATCACTGACATAGTGTTCATATTTCATGTTCCTCTATTATGAATATCTGATTTGGTGGTGCTTCTTTCTACCTTATGTTCATACCAACAGGAAATGTGCTTATATCACAGCATTTTAAATTCTAGTCTTTTGGTATTAAATTTCATTTTAGTTTGCATTATTCTTATTTGTCTTCCATAAATTAAAGGTGCCTAAGAATGTTACTAAAAATAAATGTGTTTTATTTATTTTTTTTTTTTTCTGACCAAATTAACTTCTTTCACTTCCAATACTGTTTATTGCAGATTGCTGACACTCTGCAAGAAAAGGGTGAGGAGCAATTGAAGAATGGCAACCTAGAAGATGCTCTTGGATTTTTTAATGAAGCTATTAATAATTGGTAAGTTTGTCAAAGAAGTCAGCACCTGATAATTTTATAGATTTTGAAATGCCTGTATGAAATTTCATGAAAAATACCTTTATTTTCTGGTTATAGATGTTGTCATTTAATTAAATTTTCCTAAAATTTTATTTATGCCATATAAACTGCAACTGTATTTCCCACCATATAATATGCACCAATGTATAATGTGTGCTTATAATTTGGCAAGTAATATTTAAGATAAAGTTAATAATATTCAACTTATGATTCATTCATACTTTTAAATTTTAATATTTTGATTTGTAATTATAATTTAATCATTTTTAATTGTATGTGTCATTTTAGTTTACTCAAAAGACTAGCGTGTTGGAAATGGAATGTTTAGGTTTTAGTCCAATAACACAAGAAGGAGGATATTTTTGTGTGAAAAGATAAAAGGTTTACTGTAACCTTGCATTAGTCACATGAGGTGTTTTGTTACCCCCAAATTTTTAAAGCACCTATAATTCCTAGTTGGCAACTTGTTTCTTTTCTCTCTCCCACTACTCTCCTGAGTCAGTGAGGGTGTGTAGCATGTGGTGTGACACACTTGTAGCTCAGTTATCATGGGAGGCAGATGCCAGAGGACTAACGTCGGATTAAAGATAGGAAATTCAAAGAAAATGTGTTTACCTCAAAAATACTTATTTAATAATAATAAGACTAATAAATGACTAATAAATGAACAAATTTGTTCCTTTTCCTTAATAGGGTTATGTAGCATGCAACATCACACGAATTATTTTCTTTTAATTAATACAAGATGCTAGCATTATGGAGAGAATAGGGCTATTATACATACAATTCTAATAAATAAAAACGTTGTATATTAAATGTTACCAAAAAAACTATTTAAAAAATTTAGTTTTAAGTCAAGGAAACACTTTTTTTCTAAATATTTCAAATGCTTTTCTCTTATATAAATCTTTTATTTTATTTTTTTTAAGTCCACTGGATGTTAAAAGTTATAAGCAAAGAGCTAAAATTCATGAAATGCTGAAAAACTATAAGTAAGTATTTTGTGTTCATTTTTATTTATTTTTATGTATACCACATTCTTTTTGAGTATTGTAATGTTAAAATAAATGTAAACTCTATTTTTTATTTTATTTCTTTTTATTTATTGGTTGGTATAATAAAATCTAAAATCTGCCTTAATTTAGGGGGTTAGATAAAACCAAATAGATGAGTAATTGACTGGACAGAAAAACCCTATTATAAACTTGATTTAGAATTTTAAGAAAAAAGACCTCTTACTTTTGGGATCCATAGATATGAATACTTTGCAAAGTAGATTGTGTACTAATACACAATCAAGCATATTAAAACCTTAATCATACTAGTAATATAGATAAGATTCTTTTTATATAGATACATAAATTTTAATATAGATATGTTCACAGTGGTATAAAAGTACATGTATTAAAAGGAAAGTCATAACAAAAAGGAACAATTCATAAGAAAAAAGAGGGCTAACAATATATATATATATATATATATATATAACTGTAAATTGGTAATACCGAATGCAGGTTCCAATCCAAGTGGGAATGACTGCAAAATACTTCCCACTCCCCAATTTACAGACGAAACACACATGCATTTCTGGGATTTCTTTCTAGCCAATAAGATAGACCACTTCTTGGTCCAATCAACCTTAGTTCTATTTTTTCTTATCCTGAAGTTACGATGTTACGATCACTTGTCTGTATCCTCTTTTATATGTTAACACCATTCTTAAGTTTGTGAACGTTTTGGCATGTTACTATTGCTTTGCCTCGTTAGTGTTAATTTGTCTTGCATATATTGTTTGCTTGCTTTATATTATTTTTGCCCTGTTCTTTTCTTTTGTTATTGCTTATTGCAAACTTTATCAATTCTTTTTGTTGGGCATTTCTGCCAATTACATTTAAACATGGACAATTACTTTACACCGAAATATAATGATTAAAAACAACTGATTTATCAGTCCTCTCTCACACACACATATATATATATATATACTCACACACACACACACAGACATCTCATTTTAACATATATTTACAAAAATATTTTGAAGTATTCAATAAAATTGCCATTGGCTTTATAGAGCCTCCAGATGACTTTAAGATCTCCTGCAACTCTTCTGAATGGCCTCCTTTAAGTTGGCGAATGCTGCCATAATCCTTGCTTTCAGTTCATCTTTAGTGCTACAAGGAGTTTTGTTGGTCTCTTACTCAGCTGGGCATTGCAGTCTGGCCAGATGTAAGGAGTGATGTGGTCACAGAAATTGTCTGACAGCCATGACTGGGTTCTCCTGCTTGTGTGACATGAGACAGCCCTGTTGCTAGGCATAGTCTTTTAGCAGCCACCCTTTTGACCCAGGCGAGCACTACCTCCTCAAGACACTTGATGTAGGTCTCTGGGTTGAGTCTGAAGTCTTGTAGGGAGATGAATGGAGGCATAATGTTGCCATCACTAGTGATCACTCCAAACACCTCTGTAATCACCATTAGACACATCCAACTCTTTCTGGAACCTGTGCACAATCCTCAGATTGACACCCAAACACTCTGGAATGTTTGTATGGGAGCTTTGGCAGGAATGCCAAGTAGTACAGCATGCTGTTTCCAAATTTCTGGTGGAGTGAAATGCATCATGGTGCTCTTTTTTTTCACAGATGCTGCCGAGCTGACTCTATTGTACTGCGCAGTCAACAAAATAAAAAACAACGCCCATGCGCGAAATTAAGAATATAAAATAGTGAAAATTTACCTATTGTACCCTGCTGATATAGATAAAACAAACATTTGGACAGACATGCTCTTAAGTCTGAACATTGAGAGATAAGCTAATGTAATTTAAGATTATTGCTTGTCCTCAAAAATCCCAAGGCATTTTTCTCATACACAGTTTTGTCTTTCTTTCATCCCAACTTGAGGAAGACAAAGAGAGCATACACTCACTGGCAAAACATATTGTTAATAAATTTTCCACTTTGTCACATGAATATATATGTATGTGTGTTTTGCCATACTTAGTGGAAAGTGCTCAATATCTGTGATAAAGCTAACATGTGCAGTTGCATGGGGAGTTGTTTGTGACCTTAGATTTTACGCTTTCAGGATCTTCAGACAAACTGGTTTATTTTTTTTCAAAAGCAGATCTATTTATGCTTTATTTGTGTTTGCTTATTTGTGTGTGGTGGGAGGGGGAAATGTTCTTGTTTTGTGTTTGTTTTGGGACGATGCTCACGTATACATAGACACACATGCATACAGGCTTATTGTGTGAGAATTGTTCGGAAAACCTCTACTCCTGTTCAAATGAGTTGGAAGAAGTGTGACTTTTTCAATATATTGTTATTAATTTTTTTATACTGTTTAGACTTCCTCAGGTGTCTGTTGCATTCAAATATTGAATAACACTCTATATTTGATCTACTAGGGTTATGTTTTCAATCTAGTGTCTTTGTTACAGAATTCCGAAACCTTAAAACTATCAGCTCTTCCTTACGACATCAATCAGCTTTTCTGTTGAGCCTTGTTTCAGAAATTCAGACAGAATTTTTCATTGGAATTTCTGTTTATACCTGTCTGTAAACATACAATGGGGACCTTATGTGTCTCTATTCTTATTCACATTGGTGTATACCAAAAACTGAGAAAGGCCTGCTGCACATTCACATGTAAGCAAATGCCATGTTCAGAAACGTGAACTCAAACCCTGTTTTCAATATATCGAAGTGTTTTATTCAGGGCTTTGCTTGCTTGGTCTGAGGCGGTAGATAACACTTTGGGACAACCTCTGCCATGTCGGTCTAACAGCTTAGGTCTTCCCTCCTACCAACTCTCTGCTCATCTACACATCACAACATGTGGCTGGCAATATGAATGAGTGGCATCAGAACTATACGTAGGATAGTCTGTCACCTGCTAAGGGCAAACTAGAACTGACTTTTTCAATCCAAATCTAGCTGTTAATATAGACCAGCAACTGGAAATCCTCAATATCCGGTTTTGTTGTTACTTGTCCCCAAAAGATTTTATTTATTGATTCATTCATTCTTTTGTTCCCCTCAGTCAAGTGGGTTCCACATAGAAGACCCAATTTCAAAGACCCCTCCACCACCTGCTGGCCATAAAATAACAATTGAAAGTGAAATAAAATCAAACCTTCCTCTTCTATGTGAGCATCTCAATTCTAGTGCTACATGTCTATATTTATTTATTTCTGTTAGTATCTATCTATTACATCTGACCTTCTGTTAATATAACTGCTTGCTGATTTATTTTCTATTTTAGACTTTCCTCTTGTGACTTGATAAGAGTTCATGTACTTGAACCTGATTGGAAAGAGGTAAGATTTGAAATACTTTATTTTGTATTTATGTTATTGTATATACTTTATTAAATGAAATTTTAAAAAAAACTGATAAAAGAAAGAAACAAACAAGTGAAAGAAAAATGGAAGGCAAAATACTAAACAATTCATAAAGAAAATTAAAAATCTAGTTAATGCTCTGAAAAACCTATATCTCCAGAAAATTGGAAACAAAATTGATGAAGCCAGGCAGCATAGACAATGTGTTAAAATGTGGAGAAATGCAAAAAATTACAATAACATCACACAATCAAAACCAGTGCAGAAGCAATGTCCTGGTCTCAAAAATCACATTTCAACACTAACCACACTAAAAGATACCTGCAGAAATAGAAAATATACCAATATACATCCAATCATCCCAAAGTCCATCTCCAAACATAAACAATAATAAACCTAATGATGAAGAAATTAAGAAAGCTATTAAAAAATAACAGAGGAATAATAAAGCATTACTAGATAATGAAGCTGAACTTTCTCTCTAAATTCAATAACAAGTTTCTTAATTTTATGAAAGAAGTTTAGAACCAGAAACACATCCCCCCCCAAAATCTCCTTTCTTATCAATGTTCTAAGCCAAGCTCAACGTGTCTCTATAGATTATATTGAGCAGATATTATACAACAAAATTTTCAGGTAATCTATATAACATGCCACATGTATTTATATATATTTTGTCTGTAACTTTTTGTCATAATGAAGCAACCTGTTGGTAATCAGTCAAATGACATTTTAACTATGCCAACATCGTGCTGTTTGTAAAATTAACTTGTAAATACTAAGGTAAGCAGAATGCACAGGTACTATACAGATCTGAGCAGTGCTGGGGAGTGAAACTTTGATACTTGGCTGAGTACATAAATACTGCACTGATTTTTGGTGGAAGTACCAAATATTACCTCTTTTAACTTGTACTATGTATATTTATTTAAAAACTTAGGTGTGAAAACTTTCTAATGATGGTAAGGACTTAATAAAATGTGTGATTGTGTGATTATTTTGACAGTATGGATAAACTGGTAACTGACACCTTTGCTTAATCTTTTTCACTCTCCACAATGTCTGTTTTGGTAACATGCTGGCTATTAGTGCATATTTATTTATTTTATTTGTGGTCTTTTTTTTTTGTTTGTGAAATTTACAGAAAAATCTAACACATTTCAGGAAATCTATCACTTTTTAGTCTGTAGGAGCCTGTTTTTTTCTTTTTCCTTTTTTCTTTTTCCTTTTTTCTTTTTCCATTTTTCTTTTTCCATTTTTCTTTTTCCTTTTTTCTTTTTCCTTTTTTCTTTTTCCTTTTTTTTTTTTCCTTTTTCTTTTTTTTCTTTTTTTTTTTTTTTTCCTTTTTTCTTTTTCTTTTTTTTTTTTCTTTTCCTTTTTTTTTTTCCTTTTTTTTTTTTTTTCCTTTTTTTTTTTTCCTTTTTTTTCTTTTCCTTTTTTTCTTTTTCCTTTTTTTTTTTTTCCTTTTTCTTTTTTCTTTTTTTTTTCCTTTTTTTCTTTTTTTTTTTTTCTTTTCCTTTTTTTTTTTCCTTTTTTTTTCCTTTTTTCTTTTCCTTTTTTTTTTTTTTTTTTTCTTTTTTCCTTTTTTTTTTTCCTTTTTTTTTTTTTTTTCTTTTTTCCTTTTTTTCTTTTTTCCTTTTTTTCTTTTTTTTTTTCCTTTTTTTCCTTTTTTCCTTTTTTCCTTTTTTTTTTTTTTCTTTTTTTCTTTTTTTCTTTTTTTTTTTTTTTTTTTTTTTATTTCTGACTGAGATGATTGTGCTATATGAAGAAAACATCTCAAGTAAAATTAACTAAGAGCAAGTGTTTCTTGACAGAAATGTGTCTATGTGGCATTAAATACCTGACTGCTTTTGTATATTTTTTCATATATATTTTTATTTTTAACAAAACATTAATTCAGATAACAAAAATACTTCTTTTTCGTGTATGGCATTATCACCCAGTCTGGGGGGAAATGATTTTAAAAAAATGTTACCAAATTTCTTCATCTTGGGATTTTTTTTATTCAATGATAATGTTTTTAAGTTATCATAAACTCAAATCATGCCTCAATAAATAATGTTAACATCTGTATAGTTTATGTGCAAAGTAAAAGCTTTATTCCAAATAAATGTTGTATAATTTGCTGTATCGGCAAAAGCCCCGTTTGTTCATCTGGAATCAAATGTTTTATGGATTTCGTTTTTCCTAATTTTTGTATTTAAAATGTATGACATTCAGTTTCATTGAATGTTCATTTTCATTGCCTACATCAAATAAAGTCTTTATTTGATTGCTATTGACATTATTTGGTCAATAGAACTTTGTTTAGGGTATTTGTTTTTGTTTTTTGTGGCGTATCAACCTATTGTGGATTTTTTAAAGCCAAAACATATTTCGTATTGTAGGAGGTTGCTTACAGTTTCTAGTGTTCTTAAACAGTCTACCATCTAAGTACTGACTAGTCTCAACATTGCTTAACTTTGGTGAACAAATGAGAACTGGTCTTTTCAGTGTGATTGACTGTAGGTTTGTTCAAGGGAAAATCCCTAGCATAAAATTTTGCAAATCACATGTGACATATTCAGTCATTTACAATACCTTATCAATAAACTAGATATGTCTTTTTGAATCTGAGTCACATTTTTATCTTCAAATAAAAATTCATGATATTTTGAAAATGTTGCTTATTCATGCTCCATTTTCTTGTTAGAATCAATAAACAAAAACCTGTCATGTTTTACATAATTTTAAAAGTATGTAACTGATATGACATATGTCCCAAACAATTGAAAATTTATCTTTTTCAGTGAAACACTTTAATGTTATCTAATAAAAACAATAAAATTTTGGTGTTAACCCAATATTTTTGGCATGGAACTTGGATCAGAAAAATGTGTCTGTGATATCTTATTTTCTGGTCACAGTCGCCCAAAATATCTGCAGCTATTTATAAGAAGTGCTCAGAAATGGAAAAAGGGATTTTACTGTTTTAGATATTTAATCTAATTATATTGATATGTGAAGTGCAGTGGTTTAATGCTTAAAAGAATCTGCAAGTTGCGTTCAGACTTTAGCTAGGAGACAGTTTATGTTAACTTTATGCAGAGTCCTTTGGGAAAGGTTTAAAATCACTTCTTCCCTAACTATGAGTATTTGACATGAAAACTCTATTGACACACTATTCTTCTCATAACCACAGAATTAATTTTAATTATAAGTTATGATTACAAATGAAAATAATGTTAAAAATAATATATATAAGAATGCTGGGCTAGTGCATACTACCTCCAAACTCCCTAGCCAGAGGGTAGCCTGATTAGGGGCCCCGGGCAGTGCTTTGTGACCTTCCCTATCTTATCAACATTTGTTTTTTTTTGGGGGGGGGGTACCTACATTTATATATGTTATAAATTAAACTCAGCTCAATTGACTATTAAAGTATAAAAATTTTCATGGAATTTTGACGTTATCTAGGGGTTTTTTTGTCCTTATTTGTGGATTTGTTTTGCTCATGCTAAGTCTTAAAAAACACTATAATTCACATTTTTTATGCATGATGTTGAATGTGTTAAAATTACTCAACTTTTTGACAAGAAAAAAAATCTCAAGTTGATGTTAAAAAAAAATGTGTTAAAAATTGCTGCAAAGCATTGTTGATTCATTTAAGATGGAATCATCAATTATGACATGTCTCTAAATTGTATTCAGACATTGTATTTATTTTAAACTTTTCCAGCTGAATTATTCACTAATATTGCATATGATCCATTATTCTACATAATTAGGTTACAATAAAATTTGTATCCCATCTGAATACTACCTTATAAAAATTGATTGGAAGCCGTGAGCAGTGACATGCAGAGGTTTGGTACTGCCTGGGCCAACTCCTTGATTGCATGACCCTAAGACTTGAGTGTGTGTGTGTGTGTGTGGGGGGGATACTACTTCAGTCTCACTTATCTAAACATGGATCCATATTCACACTGGCTTGTGGGACTGTAGGGCACTTGTACAACAAAGTTAAATTTCGAAAACTAAATTTTCACTCTTTAATTGGATACCCTCCCAATATGGATGCCAGGGACTGTTGCACCCTCTGCACCATACTGTACATGAGACCCTTGCACCTGCCCTGTAAGAATGGATTAATCATCAGTTTAATATTATTTTTTTTTTCTTAAGTATTCCTTATCAGAATATAAAAAATTTTATTTGATGAAAAATACAGTATATAATACACACACACAGTACATTCTTATGTATTTTAGAAAAATCTATGACTAAGTGTAAAAAAATATTTTTGTGGGACATGTTTAGTCCTTTAGGACTTTATCCAACCAATGTGATGTTTATGTTGATGTAATTACACATGTGCACAAAGACAAAGAGACACTGAAATTTTAAATATAAATTTTTTTTTATTTTCGTTATATAGTCTAACCAATTTAATTTCATTTTCTTGTTTATGTTTCCATAAGTTTTGTTATTAAATATCCTGCATTGTCATAATAGAAGATCTGCCAAGAAAGAGGAAATGTTGTAAGAACCTGGATGTAAATTTACTGTGGATGATCTTGTGATTAAATCACTTTCTATACATTTTCATCTTAGTAAATTGTTTTCTCTTTTAATTAGAATAGCATTTTAACTCAAAATTATGGTCAGATTCATTACAGTGAGTAACTGAGTCTGTTGCTTTCTAAAAGGTCTCTTTTGTGCTCATATAATCTTTTATTTAAATTCCTTGAGGTTTCTCCTATGTATTCCTTGTAACAATTCTTACAGATAGTTAATTTCAATTCTTCTTGATAGTTAATTTCTCCCTCAAGTTTTAGCTTATTTTTATTTATTTTATTGTATTGTTTTAGAAGTAGTTGTAAAAATTTTATGCTAACCTTAGATAAATACTTTTCAGTTGTAGTTGTGATAGAATTGGTGGGTAGAACAATATATAGAACAATATATTTTGATTTGTTGAGTTTACCAGGAAAATTTTTTCCACTTTGTCATAAATTTTTCTAAAATTATTCTGGCATATAAAAATTTAAGTCATTTTCCCATTATTTCCTATAATTTTCAAAATGGATTTTAGAATGGGAAAAAGAGACTTGTATATGAAAAATTTTGACTCTTGTGAAAACCAGAACTATTAATAAAAAAAAAATTAAAATTAATTCAACCTTTAAGCTAAACACAAAATAAACTTCATTAAACAAATCATCCCATTAAATAACTTTAAATGATTTGAAATGCCATTTAAAAAAAAAAAAAGATTATTTTATAGTAACTTGTATTTGTACTTTACCAATTATTTTAAGTGTGTATATCAACCTTAAGGAGTTATCTCTTAGAATGTCAAAGGAGATGGACCTGTCATGAGGGGGTGGGACTTATGAAGATGTAGTGTGAAACATTTTGACTTGTGTAAAATTGAACCTATGTCTAGTACAAACTAGACCTATCAATGCAAAACTTTTAAATTTATCCAACCTTCAAACTAAACCCAAAATATCCCCCATTAAACAAATCATTTCATTAAATTACTGTAAAATGTGTTGAAATGCTTGTAAAGGCAAAAAAGAAGATATTTTAGTAAAATGAAATTGCTTATTTATTGAATCTTGTAAGGAATATTTTAATTTTTGTTATCTCACCATTGTTTTTATTTTCTTATGTATCAGGGCTACGTTATTCATGGTAAAATCTTAAAAAACCTAGATGATCAGTGGACCAGATATTGTTTTAAACTGATTGATAAATGGAAAGTTGGTGCCAACTATTATTACATCATTGAAACTGTTCAAGAAGGTAAGTGTACCTTTTTACTTTTCAAAATTGAAGAATGAAATATATTTTTAAAAAAATCCTGCTTGAAGGTAATCTATATTTGATTAACAAACAATAGATGTGATTGATTTTATTGATATTTCATTGTTTCACCATCAGTTAGTTATGTGCCATGCATGATACACGCATCTTTTGATACATGACTGACAAGGCAGATTTTTTTTTTCCTGCAGTAGGTTGCCATTTCTTTCTGTGGTAGACCAGTTGCCATCCAAGGCTATAAAACCCAGTTTGTCCTGCTATTTACCCATAGCTAGGGGGAGAAGAAGAAGATTTATACCTTTCCCAAGGGTATTAGCATGTAAGTGAATATAATGGATTCAAATGGAATTTAAAAATTCTCGGAATTATGGAAAATGACTTTAAAGTGAACAAAATTTATTTTGTTAGGTTCATTTTAGGCAACAATTCAGTTTAAAGCTTTATTTTTTACAATATTACTTTGTACAAGGTCCAAGAGCCATTCAAGATAGAAAGTTACAGAGTAAGAGTTAAAGCACAGTTTATGAGGATATGCTGAGAAGATAGCAGTTAACCTTAGATTTGAACAGGTTAAGATTGTAATGATCAGAGAAAGCATCCTCTTGGGAGATGGTTCCACAAAGTAGCAGTTCATGGGAAGAAGCTACTTGTGTGGAACTTACATCTCTCCAATTGAATACAAAGAGAATGAAGATAGTTTGTTACACTGGGCGTGGCATGGCAGTCCTAGTCGTGAATGTTAGAACTCGGGAAAGTATTTCGTCTGAACACTTTCCATTGAAATAGATATAGATTGGTGAGAGACTTACAATGTTTCATCTGTGTGGAAGAGGTTGTAGGATAGAAATAATTCATCACCTACAAGTCTGCATTGATGCTTTTGGACACTGTTGAAACTATTAAAACTTGAATTTTGTATTTTCCAAAAATGTTTTTATCTCCTTAGATTTTAAAAAGCTAATTTCAAAGTTCAACACTGCACTGAATTTCAATTTCCTAAGGAAAACATAAAACAGTATAGATTTTAATTATTATAACTTGTCTACCTTCCAAAAGCTAAGCAAAGTATTAAGAAACAAGAAAATTTCATTAGAAACAAAGAAAAGAGTACTGAACTGCTATGTAGTATCAGCACTCCTATATGGTGTGTGTTTCATTTGCTCTTTCTCACATAAATTCACTAAAATAGGTTGAGAGCATTCTCTTTCTTTCTTTTTTTTTTAAATTTAGATGAAACCGCAAACACAATATTTTAAGCATGTATCTCCTATTCATTTGGTGAACAAGGTTTTCCTTGTGTATAATTACAGAATGTCTGTAATTTTTACTGGGTAATTCTTTTTGAATAGGCTATTTTGCTAGTCCTAGTAAAATAGGTACCAAGGCTATTTTGCCAATAAATATAAGTAGTGTTTTAGAACTAAGAATATATTTGAGATTATCAGTGCAGTGGTTGTGTGAGTTTTGTAGGCAGGACTTGAACAACATGGATTCTGTAGTCTGTGACTGTTGCCTTCACTGGGTGGACTGGAAGTGTATTGGCAAGAGAAACATGGCCAATGGTAAGTTTGGGATTTGCAGAGACTGTTATTCCTGAAGTACTTAAAATATTCATACTTCTATATTTCTTTTAATAATTGATGAACAAATGATTTTAACTTGTGTTTTAACAATTGATGGTGAAAAAGATTTTAAATTGTCTTAACAATTGATGGTGAAAATAGACTACTGTTTGTTGTTATTTTTAACGTTACCTGCTTTCATCATAATGAAAATATTTACTTATTAAATAAATTTAAAAGTATGTTTGTCTATTTTACCGGAATTGGCAAAATTAGGCATTAGGCAGCTTTCATTCTAAATCACAATTTTAAAAAAAAATTAATTGGAAAATTAAAACCAGAACTAATCTGAGATACAAATTAATTCTAGAAAAAATGTGTAATGTCCAGAAAAATCATGTTTATTTAAATTTTCTTGTTCTATAGTTTAGACATTTTTAATAAAATCATTTGTTTTCTTGTTTCTTTATAAGATGGTAAAAAGTAAATCTTTATAAAATGGTGAATAAAAAAATATTGCATTGTAGTTGGTTCACATATTTTTATAAGTTTGTAAATATAAAATTAATCTTGTAAATAAATACTCTAACAAATGTGTAATATTTTTGTTGTTATTAAAATTGCAAACAGTTTTTTAGCACAAACATTGTCAAAGTTGTATAGTGTCAAGAGAAAAAAAATGTCCTTTTGATACACTTATTTTTTCTATTTTTTGTTTTTGTCAGTGGTTACCAACAAATTAACCAATGTCTTTTTTGATTATTCAAATATTAGTTATCTACAAAAATATTGTATAGTTCCATATATTTTTATTCATTTACCATGTTATCAAATTTAAGTAATTTTACAATTGTAATTTTAAATTATCACACACTTCATATGACTCTATTTTTTATTTTATTTTTTTGCTTATGTTCAACCAGCATAGTACTTTTATACTCTGCTTCAATTAGATGTCAGCCAGATGTGGATGCTATGAAAGTAAAACTAAAAATAAAAATGTTGCACTCTGTACAGAGGTTCTGAGCATCACATCTGGTTCACAAAACAAATCCCCCCACAATAAAAAAAATATAAAAAATCATCATTAATTTTTCTGTTCCTAGTTCTTCCACACCCTGTAACCACTAGTGTTTAAGTGGAGTGATACCAATTAAAAAAAAAAAAATAATAATTATACATTATCACATATTATCAGAAAGTATCTTATTCCTCTCCTTTTACTACAAGGATGTGATATTGTCCCCAGTCTATAATTTTTCTTTTTTTTTTTTAATATTATGTTCTTTATTTAGGCACTCATGAAACCGATTTGTACCTTTCTCGGAGCGTTTGAAAGTCAAAGCAACAGACTAGCTTGGAATTTGAACTTGGCTCACAGATTCCACTAGCTATGCTGATATCCAAGGCTATAATTAATAACATTAATAATAATATATGATATTACCATTACAATTGAGGACATCCTAATGTTGTAATTAATAACATTAATAATAATATATGATATTACCATTACAACTGAGGACATCCTAATGTTATAATTAATAACATTAATAATAATATATGATATTACCATTACAACTGAGGACATCCTAATGTTATAATTAATAACATTAATAATAATATATGATATTACCATTACAACTGAGGACATCCTAAAGCTTCACGTCTACTTATCGTCTCTCAGTTGTGTCTCTGTCCTTGGACTGACTGCGCTCAGGGGCTTCTCTGTCTAAGGACAGGGGCAACTGAGGAAAATAATACTGAAGAGGTGCCCAGCCCTGGGCAACAGCTGCCCGAGGCCACATCTTTCCATTGCACCAGAGAGAGGGATTGGTGCTGAGGGTAATTTTTGTTCCTGTCCCAGGCATACTCACTCGGGTCCGCACCTAAAAATAGACCTTGTGTCACATCTCATCCTAGTGGGGGGACAGAGTAAATACCATGAGGCGAGGAGCATTAGAATTAATATTATTCATTAATGTTTTGTATTTACTTTAATAAACAGTGAGAAAACCATTGGCATTTTCTATTAAAAATTTGTATGCTTATTGACTTCAGATACACCGAACAAAGAAAATGATTGTATCAGGTGAGAAATTCTTTTTATTTACATAAATCTCATCCCAAAATGGATTATTTACAAAATGTTTTCACTAATTAAAGGATCTTGCTCATGCCCAAAAAATGTCTTACAGAATTTACAATTTTCCTTTTTTATTTTAGATTTTTCACATATATTCCTCTATTTCTGTTACTTCCACCTATAAAAAAAGGAACTCTGATAAATTTAAATGTTAGATTCCAATATAATTGTAAATGTTGTTATTTTTTCATAATTGCACTCTGGCTTAATAAATAGAGATTATCAATCATTAAAGTTGATTAGGGTAACAAGAAGAAAAATTAAATCTTTTTATATACATACATATACATATATACTATATATATATATATATATATATATATATATATATATATATATATATATATATATATATATATATATATATATATATATATATATATATATATATATATATATATATATATATATATATATATATATATATATATATATATATACACACATATTATAGCATTAGAATTAATATTAATTATTAAGAGAAAATTGGAACAATGACGGAAGAGAAAGAAAAATACAGAATAACATTTGTAAATACTTTTATAAATCTGTGTAAGAAAGAAATTAGTGTAATTGATAGTTGTATATTTTTTATATTTATTTATTTTTATTTTATTATATTTTATATTTATTTATTTCATATATATATATATATATATATATATATATATATATATGCAAAAGTGGAAAATGCTCAATAACTGTGATAGAACTATTCAGTTGTATGAATATTAGTTTGTAATACTGGGTTTCACGCTTTTGCAATCATCAGACAAACTGGTTTATTTAAGTGAATTTATTTATGCTTATTTGTGTTTGGTGGAGTGTTTCTTTGGGATGACACTCTCACATACATAGACACACATACATACAGTTGTATGCATGTTAGTTCATACAAACACTTCCATATAAATGATCTGCGGTTAGGTGCTGATAAACATCAATGCATTCAAGCATACATATATATGCAATTATAATTCTATTTCCTTAACAGGGAACAGGTGGTCTTGACATTTTTCAAATTCTGTCTGCACCATCAGATAAGCTCACATTTCCTCACACATACACATATGTAGACGTGTACCCACACTCATTGGTCTGGGTCCACTACCACCACATTGGTTAAGTTTGGTTCTGTCTGTGGACATGATGATGTTTGTACTTTTAGCAATGCTAACTGCTGGTGTATTATTGGGACATCTCGAAAGCCTTTGCCAGGGTCTGGCATTCAGGTCTTCTCCACATTCTGAAAAGCTACGGTATCTCTGGGCACATTTTTGAGCTGCTCTAGTCATTCCTATCAATTCATGAAATGAAAGTTGTCCTGAATGGCCACTTGTCTACATCCTTTTGTATTAATGCAGGTGTCCCCCAGGCTCAATCCTTGGTGCTACACTGTTTTTAATCTTTATTAAAGACCTTCCCGATGACCTCAACTCTCAACTTAGCATCTACACTGATGACACTACCATTTATTCCTGCCTTGATAGTAAGGCTGATCAGTCCAACAAGGTCGAAATTGCAGCTGATGTGCAAAATGACCTGAAGACCATCATTAACTGGGGCAAAAGATGGCTTATCAATTTTAACGCCTCCAAAACTAAACTCTCCCCATTAATCATGTGAGAGACCCCTCCCTGCTTTCCATGTGCATGGCTGATGCCTCCAGGAAAGTGACTTGTTGCACCTTCTCTGGCTAACGTTCTGAGCTGATAAGAGGTAGAAAGACTACAGTGAATTCATTGCTAGATCAGTTGATAAGAAAGTCAGTTCACTGTGTTGGTTGAGACAATTTTTCTCTCCGAAATCTATCTTGCATATCTATAAGCCTACTATTTGTCCATGCTTAGAATATTGCTGCCATATATCGTCTGGTGCCTCTGCTATATTACTGGAGCTCCTTGATGAGATCCAAAGAAGAATCAGCAATATTATTGGTCGTGATCTGGCAGCTCGGCTTCAGTTACTTGCCCATCGCTGTAAAGTTACCTCTATGTGTCTTTTTTTTATAAATACTTTTATGGTAATTGTTTGGATGAGCTCTTTGATATGTACACTGTATGAATTTAAGCACAATATTAGACTGGTGGTGAGATCTCATCAATTTACAGTTGAACTAGTGTGGGAAAATTGTGAAAATGGCCTACCTCGGAAACAATTCAGAATCTGCATTTATGTAAACACTGGTCCTTCCAACTGTAAAAAAAAAAACCAAAATACATTTTTAAAACTGGTCTGTAAAATCTCGTTTGTCGTGATTGCGATGCAATGTCGTGGTCGGTCCGCAGCTAGTGTAATTGATAGTTGTATATTTTTTTATATTTATTTATTTTTATTTTATTATATTTTATATTTATTTATTTCATATATATATATATATATATATACACTACTTAGTGGAAAATGCTCAATAACTGTGATAGAACTATTCAGTTGTATGAATATTAGTTTGTAATACTGGGTTTTGGCTTTTTGCAATCATCAGACAAACTGGTTTATTTAAGTGAATTTATTTATGCTTATTTGTGTTTGGTGGAACGTGTTTCTTTGGGATGACACTCTCACTGGCAGCGACTATCAAGAACCAGTTAGGCCATGTAGCACACATTGCATACAGTTGTATGCATTAGTTCATACAAACACTATCCATATAAATGATCTTCGGTTGAGGATGCTGATAAACATCAATGCATTCAAGCATACATATATATGCAATTATAATTCTATTTCACTTAACCGGAAATGGAACAGGTGGTCTTGAGATTTTTCAAATTCTGTCTGCACCATCAGATAAATGCTCACATTTCCTCACACATACACATATGTAGACGAGTACCCACACTCATTGGTCTGGGTCCACTACCACCACATTAGTTAATTTTGGTTCTGTCTGTGGACATGATGATGATTAATTTTGTGGACTTTTAGCAATGCTAACTGCTGGTGTATTATTGGGACATCTCAGAATTCAAGCCTTTGCCAGGGTCTGGCATTCAGGTCTTCCCACATCTGGCTACCGGTATCTCTGGGCACATTTTTTGAGCTGCTCTAGTCATTCCTATCAATTCATGAAATGAAAGTTGTCCTGAATGGCCACTTGTCTACATCCTTTTGTATTAATGCAGGTGTCCCCCCAGGCTCAATCCTTGGTGCTAACACTGTTTTTAATCTTTATTAAAGACCTTCCCGATGACCTCAACTCCGTGGCTCAACATTGGAAAAACAAATGTCACAAGATCGTGCTGGCTGCGTCCGACTAATGATAGGCACATTTATTTGGCTGAACTTGATGCGGCTAAGGAGTGATCTGGCTCTCCAGTGGGAGGCCAACAACTTGGTCACTGAAATTGCAGCACCTGATGGGAGGCAGGTGAACAAAAATGAGATGCTGGTCAAGACCATCATTTTGCGACTTGGGGACAAAGACCGTGGGCGGCTTAGTCCTGTCAGAACCGTGCAGATCGCCTCAAAACCGCTGGGTGGCTAAACTGCTCCCCCGAGAGCTAAGTGGCATGGGAGACGACTGGATGAGGGACCCTTGCCCTCTGCGCTTTCCATCCGTGCACTCTGCTTGATTAGCCGACCCCAGGTGTCCAGAGAAAGCATTAAATCCGTTGTTGCCTGCACAACCTGTCTCTCGCTAACGTTCACTGAGCTGATAAGACTGGCAATGGACAAAGACTACAATGGTGAATTCATTGCTAGATCCCCTCCAGGTTAAGTTGATAAGAAAATCAGTTCACTGTGTTTTCCTGGTTGAGACAATTTTCTCTCCAGTAAAGAAATCTATCTTGCATATCTATAAGGAAAGGCCTACTTTTTGTCCATTTACTTATAATATTGCTGCCATAACATATCGTCATCCACGGTGCCTCTGCTATATTACTGGCCAACCCCTTGATGAGATCCAAAACCCGCGAAGAATCAGCAATATTATTGGGGGTGCCTCGTCCCGTAAAGACTAGACGTGACCCGGTGGCAATCACTACCGCTGAGTTGGGAGTAGTGAGCCAATCTGCCTTGAGTTAGACCTGCAAATTCTGATTACCTCTATGTGTCTTTTTTATAAATACTTTTATGGTAATTGTTTGGAAAATTGAAAATGGCTCTTTGCTATGTACACTGTATGTAATTTAAGCACAATATTAGACTGGTGGTGATAAAAGATCTCATCAATTTACAGTTGAACTAGCTAGATGTATCACATAAGTTCTATGCTAACAATTTATTTTCTTGCACTTCTTGTTTGTGGAGCTCCCTCCTAGCTTCTTGCTTTCCAGCCAACTTTAATCTGCAAAAATTTAAATGCAATGCCAATCATTATCTACTGTCCTGCTGGTTTGCTCTTTTCTCTTTCTCCTCATGTATCTGTTCCTAATTCCTCCACACCCTCTAGCCTCTTGCGTGCTTGTAGCTGTACTGCCTTGCTTGGGGTAATAAGAAATTGATCCATGAATTTGAGAGGATTAAAATAAAAATAAATAGTCATATGTCTAGATTATTCAACCAAACCTGCTTGAATATATATATATATATATATATATATATATATATATATATATATATATATATATAAAAGAAATATACTCTTAAGGTGTACTATATTTATGGGATAAAGTGCTCAATATCAGAGATAGAGCGTGTGTAAATCTAAAAGTGAACATTGAAGTCAACACTTAGAGGCGACAGGCTGTTTCATGCTAGACGATTGCATCTAGCATGATACAGCCTGTTGCCTCTAAGTGTTGACTTCAATGTTCACTTTTAGATGTTCACTTATATTTGTTTTTTAAGTGATAATTTTTTTTATTTTATATTTTTTTTTTTTTTTAATCTCTACACTTTTTTTTTTTTTTTTTTTTTTTTTTTTTTAAGGTTTCATATTTCATGAAGATTACTCCTAAGCAAATATTATTGAGTTTTATGAATTATGTGCATATATATTTTCAAATAATTTTCTATTTAATTTGGGATATATATAATGCCAAATTCTTAATGCTATCCAATACCAAAAATCATAGTAAAAAGACACCATATGTGATGGCCATATAAAACTATGCACCATCCCCACCAAAAATGCCCCCTCTAATATCTCTAAGCATTATAGAAAATATTGAGGTCTCTGGTAGGTTAATATTTACCCAGACACCATAGACCACTTCATAAAACTGATATAATAATTTTAAAGTTTGTGTATGTGTATATCATATGTCATTGAATTATCACAATGGGGGGATATTTAATAATAGATTTGATGGAAACATGAATAAAAAGAAAGTAAATGAAACCAGTTAGTCTATGCAACCAAAACATAAAAAAAAAAAAAATGAATTTTAAATTTTAAATTTTCAGTGTCTCCTCTTCTTCATGCACATGTGTTGGAGCATCAAAGTAGACAACACTTTAATCAGATGAAGTCCTAAAGGACGGAACATGTAACAGAAACTTTTTTAGTTTTTTTTCCCTAAAAATGCCATTAAATATAGTAACTGTTGTTTATTAAATACTAGCTTATAAACCATCCTATTGGGTGGCATTTAAGCTAACTCCTGCAAAGGGCTCTTGATTGGGCCTTTATCACAATAGGTAGGGAGGAGTAGATGCCATAGGCAACAATAAACTACAGAAGAACTCAAAATTGATCACTGCATAATTTTTCTGCCATCACTAAATTTAAAGAAAATTTGATGTATGTAGGTCCTCACTTTTTATACAAACAATTATTTTTATTTCATGGGTGAATTTTCAATGGATTTCACAATTAATTTTGATTATTCCCAAATTTACTTCTGTTATAAATACTGTTATCATACAAAAAAATTACTTGCAAAACATAATGTAAAAAAATTGCCAAAAACAATCACAGTAATGAAAACTTGGGAATCCAAAATTTCAGGATTGCGGGTCCAGATCTGGCCTGGAATGTTTTTAATTTGCTCATGGTGTCAGCCTCATTCCAAAATATGTTGGGCTATGGCCTCTTGGAGTAAAGTTGAAAAAGTGTGACACATTGACATTTGCATTTATTATGTAGAAAGAAGATGAGCTATTGAAAGTTAGACAGTTGTGTCCCTTTAATTTAAAATGTCTGACACACTGACATTTGCATTTATCATATAGATAACACAAAATAACAAATTTTTTATCTTGTTTTCATTTTCAGTGTATTGAAGGGAAATTAATGACTATCTAATTATGAGAACATTTGCACGAAAAATGATTATATAATTCTGTATAAAATAAATGTTTTCCAAATTTCACATTACAAAAGTCTGAGTGTTCTCACAAAAACTGGTTTTATAGATGAGAATAAACAATTAAAAGTTCATATTTTTGTGAATCTAATATTAATAACCTATTCATTTTTATTATCCTCTGTTTTTACAGTCCTCCTCCAGTTGAAGAGAAAAAGAATGAAGAAAAATGTGAAGAAAAGGTAATCAATTTTTCTTTTGAATTTAGTTTTAAGCTTGGTAACGAATGATAACACTTGGGACAAGAACAACACACATAAGATTCCCCGATGATATGTAGAAGTAGTCAACTACTAGAAGTGAGTCAAGTGAATTCTACAATGAATCTCCAACTGCAGACCAACATACAGTATTTACTACTGTATTTATGTGAATATCCATTATTGTCTGTAGGTATGCTACAACAGGTACATAAATGAACCCTAGGGATAGTGGAGACTGTGAAGAGGCTTATAATGTGAGACTGTATATTAAATTAAATTATTTAAATATTTCTCAGAATTAATGGTTGCATGTACTAAATTAATAAACCTAATGAAAATGAAATTGTTTATCTGTTATTTTCTTTATATTTATAAATATAACCAGTATTTTACAACCAATTTTGTACACTAAATGTAACAACTATTATGGGATAAATGACAGTATTTATATTTTTAACCAAAGCTAATTAAAACCTGATTTAATAATTCTTGAAAACTCGACTTTGCTTAAATAAAATCACTGTTTTGATTGACTTTTTTTTTCTCTTTCCAGATTCCATTACCAAGAAATGATTCTGATGAACTTGTTCAGAAAGCCATGAATTTGTATAAACAACAAAAATTCAAGGTTTGTAATTTTAGAGAGAATATCTGAAAATATATTTTCTTTTAAGCATGCCTTTTCCTAAGCATTTTGAATGAAGTCGCAGTAATGATTCCAGGAATTTAAGAAAGACTTGTTTGATATTGTTCACGAGGATGCATTTCTATAGTAAAGGATTCTACTAAGTCCTACTTGTTAATACAAAAAAGTTTTCATTCATGAAGTAGTTGTAAAATAGAGAAATTAGAAATAGAACGTTTGGAAGATTCTAGATCATTCTAGTATATTCGAGAAAAATCTAGAAATATGCTAATTAGGTGCTAGCCCCTATAAAAACAGGTTTTTGGAAAAGAGTTTTCAGTCGTGAAAAGAAATTTCTGCCGGTATCAACTCCAGCTTTTTGATTTGGGTATTAATATATCCAGCTGAAAGAATCTCTATGAAAAGTTGCCAACCAACAAAAATCCCGAAAGAGAACTACATGGAACAAATCTGGTAAATAGAGTTTTGACTATTTTCATTGACCAAACTACCAATTATTCAATATATACTCACATTTGTGGATTTCCAGTTAGCACTTAGATTACTTCGCTAGCCCTAACGTGGTAAAGACTTGATTCCCCTTCCTTCTCCCTCGTAACACTTTGCCCATAAACTCTGTGTTTTCTGTTTTTGTATGCCACAATTGTTTATCTTGTATATATTTTATGTTGTGTTTTAGTAAATTAAATATTTGTTTGTGATTTAGCTCTGTGTTTTGGTAAATCATTTTTTTTCTTTGTTACAATTTCCAACACGTAACAGATATAAACTCATTTTTTCATCACTTAGAAGAGTTTCTCTATATAAAGCTGAGTAAAATGTATGCTTCGAAAGAGCCACACATTTCACTTATAGAAGTAAATTGCTGATTCCAGAAGATGTGGTTTTGGCACAGAATTATTGCTGTTAATTATTGTAGAGAATAAGCAAGCACAAAAATTTACTTGCCAAATGTTGGGATGTTGTATTGGAATTTAGAACAATCAATATGGAAATAAGTTTAATCAAGCACAGAATAAAACAAGGACGCAGAATGACTAAAGAAAGGATAAATCACTATTTATGTAAGGGTTGTGCTATACTGGCTATATCAGCGCCTCACTTCAGGGAAAAGACCATGGGTACGGCCTCTGTGGAGACACAAGGACCAATTCAAAACAATACTGAAAGCCACAGAACTTGAACTTAAATTGTTTGAAACACAATCCTGAGATCGTACCAACTGACAGTGTTCCATCACCATTGGAATCAAAACACATCAAAACCACCAGAAAAGAAAAGGAAGAAGTCAAACTGCAAGAAAGAAATGTTTGACAAAATCAATTTTGTCCTGCAACATTACCATTCAGTCAATGCCAACAACTCTTTCTTGAAAGAATTGTTTTACTTGGTCATAAATGTCATCATCATAAAGGAAGCCGTTGGCAAAGTAGAAATTAAATTTTTGCATACAAATAAAGCCAACAGCAATAAACTCCAAATTCAGAGTTTTTTTTTTTTTTTTCACCTCATTACTCAAGCAGCATGAAGCAATCCTGCTCCCTTCACTATAAGCCCCAGACTTTCTCTTCAAAAGCTGTCACTCATTTCATTTGAGCAGATGTGACTTAGCACTCACCTTCCATAAAATTGTTTCTATATCCTGATGTATTATTGTGAATACAATCACCACATGTAAAAAGCAACATTTTGCTATTTTTGTGTGCTTTCTCCCTTCAGTGTAATTTTGAGGGGCTTGGATGTTACACTTGGTAATTAAATTATAATTACTTTAATAATTAAACTGTTCATTACAGGAGATGTTCAAACTATTGATATCATTGCTTGTATTTTTTTAATCTTTGTACATTTTGGTAAATCCATTTTACAGCTTTTTGTAGGAAAAAGACAAAGATTCTCTACCCCACAGGAAAGAATGATTGCTAATAAATGAAAGCCAGACAAAGAATGAGAATAGTCTAAACATCTTATAAAATAATAACTTTTCTCAAAATGATAAATGGAATAACTTAAACCTATTTGATTAACTCAGATTTGGTAAATTTAGTTTAAATAGTGCCTCCTGAGGCCTGAGCTATTTTGTTTACTGGCTGAGTGAATTAAACAAAAAGAATATTTTATAACTACTTTCCTTCACTTTTCAGATGAAGCATTGTTATTATTATTATACATTGATTCAGATCTGATCTTTGACAGGTTTTATCAAAACATTTCAACTAATGTATTTCCCTTCGGATTCTGTCACATTTGGTAGGAATGTTGAATAAAATCATTTAATTTGATGGGATATACTGTTCTCATTTCTTTTCCATCTGGTGTCCTCCCTCCTAAGCAATTTTTTTTGTCAGAATTCATTAATTCTTCCCTTACTGCCCGTTTGCAATTTCTGACTCGGGTATTGCACTTGTTCAGGGAACGAGAAAAAAATTTTCTAAAAGGGGTGCACACCATTTTTTTTCCCTTTTTTTTTTTTTTAAACACATATAAAAGAAAAACTAAACTTTTTAATAAGTAAATTTTACATCTAAAATATTTTGATAAAAAACAATTGTTGCAGATACAAGCTTTTAGCTCAACTACAATCAGTGACACAAAAATTTTCACATGTAAATGGCAGGTTGTCATCATTTGTAGAGATTATAAAAGAAATGGAATAAATATCAAGGAGATATTTTCATGAATTTTTATGTAACTGATAAATGATTTACCAAAAAGAAAAAATATACTAAGGTGTATACAGCTGAAAAAGAAAGGAAAAATATTAAAATTTAGCCATTAAGTGTGTGTGTGTGTGTGTTCACTCATCAGTTGCCCCGGAGAAAGATATTATTTTCAGCTAGGATAAACGCTTGTATCAACACTATTATATCTTGGAGAAAAAGAGAGAGATATATTTGTTCTCAAGGACACATGGCACAGTGAAAAAAAAGTGTTGGTTAGATCCAGTGACAGGACCCGAAGGGCATGAGTTCAATACCCGGTTAGAGCAGTGGAGAACTTGGACAGGGCAATTAACAGAAGATAACTGATAACTGACATGTGGAACTAGAACAGTCTATCCCAGTGAGTGAAATAAAGGGTTCAGTTCGACATTCCAACCACCTGAAGAAGGCCGGAGTGTGCAACGGCTGAAACGTTGTAATAAATATGGCAACAAAGATGAGGAAAATAGTCTGAATAATGTAAATAGTGTATATTCGTTCTTTTATAGTACTTAAACATTACTTAAACAGCACCACCTAATAGGTGGCCTGGCAGACCAAGTGGGGGTAATCTGCACACAAAATATTTTGTTTTTTTTTTATATTTTTTTTTTTTTTTTATCCCACCAGGGAATGTTGCAGTTGTTTAAAGCAAATATTTTGGAAACTACATTATATCAACTTGCTCTTTTATCCCACATTCATTTGAAACAGTAAGTACAACAAAGAATTATTTCTTGAAATCATTTGCATATTTCATATATTAGCTTTTAGTCTGCTTTTAAAAAAATACAAAAATTACAATCACCCTTCAAAAATTTATATCACTCGAATCTGATACTTGGGGTAACTGGTAGGTACCTTTTTACGTGAGTTTTCTTATTACTATCTGTCATACTTTCAATTGGTTAGCAATGATATGTTAGCTGTATTTTAGATGATTATTATGTACATTTCACTAGGCAACCAATCACGTTTATATTAACCACTGGGGAAAATCATTCTTCTGGTTGATGATGGCTTTTGGCATGTCCTTTATTTTCCTTGTTGTGTATTTATTTATTTATGTAGATCTCTCCAGTATCTATAACCATCTTATTTGAAATTGCATACAGATACTCTATATATAATAGTTGATAATAAATGATTGATGTGAGATATCAAAGTAAATAAAAATGGAATATAAGAAAACCAGTTGGACATTGAAAAAAATTATTTTATTCAGTTGTTAACATTTTGCTATTTGAAACTTTTCCAAACACAAATGAAAAGTCTATGGATAAATCATGTTGCGTATCATTTTATTTACATTAAATGTATAAAGTATATATAAAATTATATAAATAAATAATCTAATCTCTTGATGATAATCAAACCGTTTATATTCTATCTATATGAATAAATGCAAAATTGGAGCTCAATTCTCCCACAAATTCTGAGTTTAAAAGGGCCTAACTTTGCTTTATAGTAATTTGGTATTTATATTTAACTAATTTGCATATTGATTTTAAAAAGGTATATTTCATTAATTAACTGTCTTTCATTAATGTTCTTTTATTCAAGGATTGTTTTGGTTTTCATATCAAAAATAGTTCTGTTTAGGAATATTGTCTTATATAGTGCCAAAAAGTGTTTGAAATTTGTGTTTTACTTGGCCTTCAGTAAGTTGGCATCTATTTGTAAATCTTACTTATTATAAAACACAGATTGTGTGTGTGTGTGTGTGTGTACATTTATATATTGGATCGGATTTCCTACATTTTTCAACTGATTTCAACAAAACTTCACAGGACTGCGTAAAATTACCTTGCGGTGGTTCTGACAGCGCCAAAATTGGGAAAACACAATTGTTTTTTTTTACGAAATCAATTTGAAAATACGATTCTGTCACCAGAATGAAAGGGGGACAACTCATATCGAGTTATACTTATTATAAAACCCAGGTTGTTTGTGTGTATGTGTTCGTTTATATATGGGATCAGATTTCCTACATTTTTCAACCGATTTCAACAAAACTTCACTTTTTTTTGGCAGGTAGTGTTTCTTATTGTCTTGCACACTTTTTTCTTTATTTTTACATTCAGAATGCTTTAAAAATTCCATTTACAAGACAATTGTTTATAATAAAATTCTATTCAATCGATAGACTCATAAGTTATAACGATTGAAAACAATGTTTTTGTTTGAGTTTGGGTTTGACCAATTCATAAAAAAAAAAAAAAAAAAAACCCTAATTAAAACATGTGTGTCTGTCAACCTTAAACAATAATCTTTGTCAATTTTATTTTTCAGTCTTTATGATGGTCGATACTTGATCTATCTCTTACTGTTACATCCCCGGACAATGCCGGACTCTACTGCTAGTTTTAACTATACCAAGCCTGCCCCCACACCCAACTAATTAATTTTTCCTGTCTTTACAGTCATACTCTTTGAACAAATATATTGAATAGCCACAATCCCTTCAACATTTCATAAATAGTGAACATTAACCCCATAGAAAAACAACTAAATTTTCCTAGAAAAATTACCAGATAGAGTGCAGACGAAGCCTGCTAGTTATAAAATATATCTGAATCCTTCGAGTAAAATTTGTTTTTCAGAGTTTCTTGTTTTTTTTTTTTAATTATAGATCACATGACAGTAAACTGCAGACTTGTGTTGAATGCTTTCTTCCATTGGTTTTTAGTGGTGGAGGTGGTTTTATTGGTGGAGGTAGAGTAGATCTCAGTTTTGGCATAGTAGTCTTTGACTTTGTTCAAACAAAGTAGGAATCTGTTTCTGTATTTGTTGCATGGTCTAAAGCAATACTTATTTCAATGTTTCTTTGGGCAATGTCCCAGGAAGGCAAATCTTCTTTCAATGGTTTTGCCCCAAGGTTCAATACCTTACCTTATCATATGTCTTTGTCCAAACTCTTGCAAGGCCAGCAGATATTGAAGGTGTAACAGGTAAATGACTCTGAAATCAACATTTTATAAGTAGAAATGTAAAAATGGTGTTTTAGGATTAAAATTTAAATAAACCGAAAATTAAAACATGGTTTGGCAAATTCAGCTCTGGCTTCAGGAGGGCATGAACCCTGGACTAGAAATTGGAAGAAGGAAATGAGAAGTTATGTTGATAGCTAATAAAGTAAAATCAATGTAATTTCAAGTGCAAATATCAATGTGAAATAACTTTTGGCCATAATGGGGTGTGCTGATAGGTGGCACTTGAATAAGTTTTTTTTTTTTCTTTCTTTTTTTTTTTAAAATGAACTCCACCTAGGTGGTCACAGTATCTGTTAATAAAGGGTTAATACAAGGTCTGAAAACTGGTAAGGGTAAAATTAATTTGAGTGAAAAACCAGATGTTTCTTTTCTGTGACCATCAACTGAAATTTTTATAATAATATTATTTTAGATTTCTGGTGAGGAATTCTTCACCAGTAAGAAAGCCATCTGGTTAATTTACTGGAATATGGAGATAATTAAATGTGAGCTATGGGCATTGTGAATTGTCATTTTCTAAAGCCTGGCTAGGTAAAGTGAAGTCATTAATCATTGTTAGAATTACCCATATGAGCAAGGATGCATTTTGCTTGGCAGTCATTTTCTGTGAGGGGAGCAAGCAAACTGAATTCAATAACACACCTGCATTTCACCGAACACACACAAGCATCATTTAATGATTTTGACTTTGATTTTATGACCATGAAGAATGTAAAAGTATTATATTTTAAAAATTTATCAATTCTAAACTTTTTTATTTATCCATTTAGAAAAAGGCAAATATATATGCCCTCAAAACAATTGGAAAGCAAGCTTTTCTTACAGATAAAATTTACTGTAAATTTATTTACCAATCTGCCCTGGTTAATAGAAAAGGATTTTAACAGTCCTCAAATGTAAAGGACTTTCTTTTTTTATGACTCTTTTTCTGCTTTGTGTCTAGCTCACTTCTCTACAATTATGAAAAAGCTAAATTTATCAAATTATGACATTAGTAACCAGGTAAAATATTAGAAATTAAAAAAATTGACATTGCCATAGATTAGGTACTAAGACTTTGTAGTAGAAAAAATTAGTTTTTTATGCTTATCATTAATTTTAACTAGTATTTACCTTCCTCCTCATTATTTAGTTGCTTTTACTTCATACAAAAATAAATACTAGTCAAAATAAAGATTGATAGTACTTTATGTAATAGTAATAAAATAATACTGTTTTAATAGTTGAATTTATTTTTTCAAAATACCAGAATAAACTTTTAAAATTGGTCATTTTTATTTTATCAGGTTAGATGAAGCCCGGCAGTTGGCATCAACAGCCATTCAAACATTTACAGACTCTAGGCAGTTTTCGGGAGATGATCAAGAGGTTACTAATTTGAAGGTAAGTTTTTTTTTTTTTTTTTTTTTTTTTTAAGAACTCATAAGATTTTATTTTTATTTGATGAAAACTTTCCATTTTTGATGTGTAGTTTATTATTCAAATATTTCTTCTGAGATAGGTTATTGCATATGCTCAAGATAGTCTGGTCAGTACCTAGATGAGTGACTGCTTGGTAATACTAGGTGCTATAAACTTGGATGTGAGGGTGGTGTAATGGATAATGGCTTGAAATTGTTAAGTAGAGAGCCAAGTTCCAATTTCGGCTGAGTTTGTTATATTCACTTCACTTGGGAAAGGTATAAATCCACCTCTTCTCCCCCAGCTATGGATTAATTAGTCAGACTTGTATCACTAAAACCATTATTATCTCCAAGAAAAAAACTATACAAAGTATTTAGATTTTGGCATAAAATAACCCATAGTTGTTGATATGCCGCTAAATAAAAACAACCAACCAATCAAAAGGTAATTACTGGGTAATATATTTTTCTTTTTTTTTTTTTTTATCAAAAATGGACATAAATATATTTTATTGAGAATATGAATTTTTCTTTCTAATTTTTTGTCTTCAGAATTATTTTTCACATTATTGGTTTTATATATATTGGACTCTCCTTCATCTTTGACATATGAAGGTCCAACAGTTCAATTTTTAGAAATGAACAGCCAAACTACCCTCACAAATGATCTGATTATAGTGGTGGGCGCTTGGTCAGAATTAACCACACTTTTCAGAAGAACTGAATACAGATAACAGGTGCACATATTGTGGCACAAGATCTCCAAATGATGCTCCTCAGTTTTTGAATTCAGAGTTGGTCTTCCTTCTGGACTGATTGCCTGTCAATGCTAAAGAAGCTGTGTCTACCATACTATTTAACTCATAGGGAGATAAAAAGAGATGGATTCATACCTTTGCTAAGGTTATTTATGTGTAAGTGAATGTAATGGACTCAACTGGAATTCAAACTTGGCTCTTTGATTTCTCGTTCCATGCCGTTATCAGTTACACCATCTCTCCCCCGCCAACTCACACACATTAATAACAAATATAAACCAAAGCTTAAAAAATAAAATAAACTAAGGGTTCAATTCCAAAGTTGGCAGAACTTAAATATAATATATTGTAATAATATTATTAATACTATATGTTTTAGGGGAAAAAAGTATGACAAAGTGGAAAAAGTTTTTGTAAACACCAAGTTAGTCCGATGAAGTTCTAAAGGATGAAATGTCCTTTGGTGTTTACTTTGATGTGACTACACATAAGCACAAAGAAATGTGATCACTGAGAATTTTAAATTTAAATATTTTTTTGTGGGGAGAATACTTTAATTGATTTTGGGTATATGATGCATTTGGCAGAGGAGGGGCATATTTAAAATTTGATAATTTTGAGGCAATACATACATAAAGATTTTAGGAAGTTTTGATAACGTTTCTTTATGGTTAGCCATAAGGAATTGTAAATGTAGGACTACCTTGCACTTAAGTAAAATAATAACAATAATAATATTTATTAAGAATTTATTACAGGAAATGTCAAGTTTTACAGAAACATTGTTGACAATTATGTATTTAGTTATATAACAAATAAATAAAAATAATATAAATTTTGATGCTATATCCAATTTGTTGTTAGGTATTTTTCATTTTCTCCTTTGTTATTGACAGCATTTTAGAATATTTTAGCTGCAATGCTAAGTTTCCTAAGTTGAACAAACTGGAGCTATTTCGTTTACGGTTTATTACCTATCTTTTCCATTGTAGTTTTTAGATCGCTTTCTTCCAGTCATTTTGATGGGCAATAATGAAATTCTGAAATTTACAATGATCTTATTTCATTTCAAAAATCAAGCTTGTAAAAAATTTTTTTTAAAATTAATATATGACGAAAAATAAACTGCTTTTGGCAAAAAAACTTAATGATTTCAATATAATAATGTAACAATAATGTAATGATATTCCACAGACAAATCTACAGTTTATGTTAACTCATCTCATTGCATAGTTATGAACTATAAACCTAAATTGAGCTTGAAATATTGTGTAATCAGCTCTAATTTTTTGTAAAATACTTGGATATGATATAATCTTGTCTTCTTGTCTTGTAATAGTATTCACCCGGGGTGGGTTGAGCTGGCTCCAATTGAATTAACCACATCGTGTGTCAAGGCCATCCAACCCTGTCAATTGGCAGCAGAATTGACGGCATGGTCGAGCCATTCGTGATTCCAACGTCAGACATCGAAAACACGAGGACCAGACATGAGTTCCATATCTGCTTTGACCGTTGTGAGCCACGTCTTGACCACCTCGGCACTTCCTCTGACCAGTGATATGATATAATGAATAATTTGCGGTGAAAAAAGCAATTTTTTTTTATTAGCTGAATTCATTTAGTCTTTTTCTTTCCATCACTTTTGTAAGTAGGTCTTCCACATTGTGATATTAGAAGATCCACCAGAAATGGTGAAATGTTGTAAGAGCCAAGGTGAAAATTTACTGTAGATCACCTTGCAATTAAAGCACTATCTATCTATATAATCTTATTACAATTACACTGTTGAAAAAGCAGTCTATTAAAACATGTGTATCCACTAGTTATAGCATTTATACTAATAAGAAATAATGTTGGTTTATAAATGAAAGTCCATTCATTCCTTTTTTTTTTTTCTTTTTCTACTACAGAAAATGTTTAGCTTTATAAAGTGTCTTCCGTCCACTTCATTTGGTCAGTGTGACATATGTAAAACCGGTCAGCAATCTAATGTAGCCGATGTTTACATTTATGAAGATTTTTCCATGCTTGATGACCTTTTCCATAAGGTAAGTTTCTGCCATTCTTTCTTTATTTACCTTATTTTTCTTCTCTTTGAAAGAAGATTGATAATTTCACAGTTCAAGCCAAGATATTATTTCTCTGCGGCCTGTTGGCTATAACATATTTTAATTCTGACTTCTCACTGTGCTTTCTTGGCCTCATGTTTTTGATTGACTTGAAATGGAACAACTACCTTGAATCAATAGCTGCATCTATTGCAAGAAAAGTTGGTTCACTGTGTCATGCCAAAAGATTTTTCTCATCAGAGTTCATCTTACACTTCTACAAGTCTACCATTCGTTCATGCATTGAATAGTGTTGCCATACCTGATCTGGTGCCGCTGCTGTTCATCTCAAGGTTATCGACAAAATCCAAAGAAGGATCTGTAATGTAATTGATCCTCACTTGGCATCTCAACTTCAGTCACTTTCTCACAGATGTGATGTGGCTTCCTTCCATCTTTTCTACAAATATTTCCATGGCAACTGCTCTAATGAGCCTTTTTCCCTGGTGCCCTGACTGCATGTATTTAAGCATGCTACTAGGTTGGCATTTTACTGTTGAAATAGTTAAATGTAATTGCCACTTCTACTCCAACAGTTTTTTTTCTTCCACTTCTTGACAGTGGAACTCCTTTCCTTTTACTTGCTTCCCTGATAACTACAATCTTCAAAAATTTAAATGCAATGTCAATTGCCATCTTCTGTTGTCTTGAACCCCATTCATCTTTTATCCTTTCTTCAATCCCCCCCTTATACCCAGCCTTTTCTCTCACTTTCTCTCACTGTACCCTCATGTATACTAGTGGCACTCCTGCCTTGCTTGGGGTAAAATGCTTTTAAAATAAAAACAAAAAAAAAAAAAACTTTTGTCACTTATAGCAAAGATGATTTTAAGGTTCTTTCTGTAACTGACAGTAAGCAATTCTATCACTGCTGAAATAGGTAAAAGAATTGTATATTGGTTTTGTGTCATGATTTTCATCTCTTTCAATAATGAAATAGTTTGAAAATCTTATATTTCCAGAATTTTGGTTATCAGTCTTCCTTCCCAATATACTATATATTTTCAAAAAATTTTTATTTATTTTTTTTAAATTTAAGGAAAATTTATAGGAATTTGGATTTGCTCAGTGGAGTAATGGATAACGGCTTGGATTGAGGAATTGGAAAGCTGAGTTCGAATTCCAGTCAAATCCATTACATTCACTTATGTGCAAATACCCTTGGGAAAAGGTATGAATCCCCTCCCCCCCCAAAAGCTATGGATAAATAGCAGGACAGACTGGATTCTATAGCCTTGGATGGCAACTGGTCTACCGCAGAAAGAATTGGCAACCTACTGCAGAGAAAAAATCTGCCTCGTCAGTCATGTATCAAAAGATACATAATAGCCTAAGTGTGTATCACACATGGCACCTAACTGACTGACATAGGCACAGGTCAGTGGTAAATTATTGAACTGAAGATCATTAGTTTTGAGGCTTTATTCCATATACCATCATCCTGTCTATTTAGAATGGAAATGTGAAGAGAATCAGGATTGATGCCATGGTATTAAAAAAAACCTCTTTTGGTCATAAGTTTAATTCAAAGTTGATGAAAGGCAAAAAAATACCCAATCATTTTTTTAATGATTCAGATATTTAATCTTATCGGTTTGTTATATAGTAAATACTCTTTATAAGACTGTGATGATACCAGAAAAGTAACCCAAAATTAAATAACTACCTTATATATATATGGCGGTGCTAAAAAGTTATTGTCTGAACCCACTTCTCAAAATCCGAAAAATTCACCAAAAATTAGATTTTTTTTTTTTTTTTAAAATCCCTTCTTTGCCAGGTTGAGAACTTTTCACCATATAAGATATAACTTATATAAGAGGGGGCCAATGAAAAATTCTCAGTCCAACTCAGTTTCCCATATCTGTATTCCACAGACCAAATAGTAGAACACTGATTTTGAGGAGTGGGTTGAGTTGAGATCTTTTCAGCACCCGCTTATATATAATAAAATTTTGGGGATGCACATAAGTGGATGTATGCATATGTATGTGGGTGTGTGCATAAGTATATAATAATATACATGATGAATATATGCATATACATAAACAGATAAAGAATTTAGAAACTTCAAACAATCTTTGTCATTTGTAACAAAGGTGATGTAACAGCAAAAATTTAAGCTGACTTGTCTAACATGAAAGTTTAATAAAATCCTTGCCTGAGATTTTTGCCACACTTTATGCTGTCTAAGATCTGAAATGCATTCAGTTCAACAAAATATTCCTTTTTCAGCTAAACTTTGAATAATTATGTTTTCTTTTTCTGTTTCTAGGGCTTTGTAGTGCTAAGGTGTGAAAACAGATGCAGAATTTTATTTCATTTTGAGTGTCTCTCTGGATCGAATGACTTCATTTGGAAAATGTCTACATTACAGGTAATCTTTTTCTTAAAATCTATGAGGATAATTTTCCTAATTCTATTTCATTGTAATGAATTTACTGCAAGTGTATGAGTTGTAATACCATTGTATGACTAGTAATTCACTAGTTTGTCTCATCAATGCCACATGGTGTATGTCTGTGTTTGTTCACACATACACATGAGTGGGTGCTGGCAAATTGTCAGTTTGACCAAGAACAACCTAAAGGCATTATCTTGTTATTTAGATTTTTGTAGGTGCATCCTGTAAAATATACGTTTTACAGTATTATGAAAAAAATATTGCTTTTTCAAAATAAATTACCAAAAACATAACAAAAGCATATTAAACATTTAGTGAATGTGTTATAGAATGTGAAGACCAGGGCCAGAATAGTCAGAGATTGGTGGGAGTGCCTTGTGGCCGGGATATTCTGACAGTGATAGATTGTCTTTGTCTGGGTTTTGAATATAAGTTCAGAACGGTGCAAATTCAACAGAGTCACAAGAATTCTGAAGTTTCAATATGCCTCCTACACCCAGGTTTGCGACCAGCTAATACCACCCATGAAGGGATGCTGAGCCAACGTGTTCCTGTGAGATCAGTCCTCCCACTGCCTCTTAGAATCAAAGTTGCCACTCTTAATAAAATGAATACCAAAAGTAAATGACCCTTTTCATTGATAACATTTTATTTAGTAGTGTGTGGATTCAGAGATGCACAGAATGCAACAAATGGCATTAAGACATTTATAGCAAAGAAAACGGTGACTTACCTCGTCAAACCAAGTGACAGTGCGTTGTGTGTATCCTATGACGGAAAATGTGGCAAAAAAGAAAATTACTTACCAAAAAAAGGGCACATATTCTGCATGATATGCTGAAGACGGAATATTTAAATTAAAAACAAGTCCGTCGCAGGAGTTTCTATAAAAGTATTTTGATATGCTAAAATTGGGCGTCCTCTCCCAGTTGTTGATGAATGGAAAAAATGCTCGCCCAATAAAAGCAGTTGATGTTCTTGAATTGGGGAGAAAAATTTGTGTATTTTGGCTACCGTGTTCAGAGAGTCAGTTACTTTACTGACTGGTTATGTGCATTGTGATTTGTGAGATTGTACCTGCGAATCAAGTTTTCGGCATTTCTTTTTGCCCCTGATATTCGAATCTGAACTTACAGTGATTTGTTCTCTGCGTTCTGGAAGTAATCTGCGACAAATATTTCCTTTGCTTTCAGAACACTTACAACATTTTATACACAAGTGGTGATAAAAACTATAGTTGCCAAATTATTAAAACAAAATTTTCAAATGTTTCTACACCCCCAGCCAATAATCTTCATATAACCTCTAAGCCATTGGTCAGACAATAATATGTCAGACTAGGAGAATGCAAATTTTTGTTTTTTCTGAAATTTGCATAAGCTTACATAAATTTATTTTATGTTGTCAGTAAGTGATTACTCTATAAAAACAACGTTTTGGGATATTATGCGTACTAAGAAATAGTGTCTGATCTTGTTGGCAGTCTACCTTCTAAGAGAGTAATAAATAGTGCAAAGTCTTAGAATTGCAGGAATCTGTGTGTATTCATTTACTCAATTTAGTTTAGCACAAGGCTACATTTGTGGGAACACTCAGTGAGAATTGAAATTGTTATACAGAAGTGTAAAATAATTGGCAGAAATCCCCAACAAACAAAATTGACAAAGTTTACAATAACAAGAGAAAGAAAAGAGAACAGGACAAAAATAGTGTTGAGCAAGCAACAACAATAAGGCAAAAAGTTCACAAACTAAGAATGGTGTTAACAGACAAAAGGGGATACAGACAAGCAATCACAGCATTCTGCCTTCAAGACAAGAAAGACCAGAACTGAATCGGATGAGATAAAGTAGTGTCCTAATTTATTGGTTAGGGAAAAATCTCAGCATGCATCCGTGTGTTTTGTCTATAAATTTGAGAAGGTGAATGTTTTTGCAGATATTCCTACTGATTTGGAACCAACAAGAAGTCGGAGTCTAGTTTACTCACTACTGTTCTGTGGTAAAAAATATAACTCTTGGCCTCTTTAGAAATAACTGCTTTCTTTTATGGCACTAATGAAAATGCTAGACCTTATTAACATAAAACCTTTTTGTCCAGACATTACCAAAAAAATTCAGTATTTATTGTGATCATAAATTTGTTAAAAAAATTAACCGTCCTGTATATGATGATAAACTACGTCCACCATCAGTGGTGGACGTAGTTTATCATCTGATATGCCTCTGATCAGGAGGTTTTGAGGAGCATGAAACCACCTCTTAATTACTGGTGTTCCCAGGTCCACCCTGACCCGGGGTGGTAGCACCTGTTAGGGTCCCAGCTATGGGAAAATAGTTAACCCCCGAAAATGAGGTAAAAAGCATTATGAAAGTGTAAAAATAGATTTTAATACCAGAAATACTTTGTAAAAAATTATTACCAGAAATAAATTTTTGAAGAAAAAAAACTTACCAGCAATGTATTTTTGAAAAAACAATATTACCAGCAATATATTTTTGAAAAAGAAAAAAATTACCAGCAATATGTTTTTGAAAAAAATAAAAAGAATAAAAATATTACCAACAATACATGTTTAAAATAATATTACCAGCTATACATTTTTGAGGAAAAAAATATTACCAGAAATAGATTTTTGACAAAACAAAATATTACCAGGAAAAATAAAAAGTTGTCAGCAATAAATAACTCATTGAGGTTGATATGCAGTAAAACACAACAAACCAAACCAAACCAAACCAAAAAGTTAAGTTTTTATAAAAAGAAAAAAAGTCATACAACTACCGAATGTAAATTATTGTCTTCTATTTTGAATGTTTCTTTTTTTTTTCCTTTTAAATTCAGAATTATATTAGAACTATCTGTTCAACCCCAGACTGTCAGTCATGCATCATCATGGCAGAAGCCTTTTTTGTAGATAATACTGAATCAATTGTAAGTATTTTTTATATTTTTGTTCTTGACAGATTTTTGATTTCACACACTTTCCATATTTGAGATATTGTTAACACATACAATTTGGCAGGTATTACAGAAAGTATTAGTTTCAAAATTACTAAAAAGAATTTATTTAAAACAAAAATGAGCTTTGCTAGCATAGAATTAAAAAGATTAAAATTAAAAAATTCTAACTTGCACATTTTCTGCATCTAGTGATGACCATATGTATAAAAATAACTATCATAAAAAAGCCACATGCACAATTAACTACAGGTTTTCTTCTTTTTTTTTTAATCATTTCAATTGAAGAAAGGCAGTAAAGCCACTAAGGCACAAGGGGTTACTGAGAGTGAAGGAAACTGAAAAAATGCTATCAAGGAGAAAAGACAATAAAAAGAACAGGATTCAAGGAGACAAATAACAATGATTGATGTTGCATTTAAATTTTTTGAGGATTGTAGTTGACAGGTAAGCAAGAAGATGAAAGATAGTTCCACAGACGAGAAATGTGATAGCAGAAACCATTAAAATAGTACTTATGGTTACACTTAGTAATTTCAACAGTAAAATGATGGAACCCATTTGTCAATCAGTACTACACTTGCAGCAGTGATTGCAAAGACTGTGCCTCAATTGGTAGGCTAAAACTTCATATAAAAGTTCATTAAAATATTACTGTAACACCTACTACAATAGGTATCTAACATTGCTACATCTGCACAAAAAAGTGTAAGTCCCTAGCAGAATTAAAAAGTCACATCTGCACTACTTATATTTGGGGAAAATAATTTGATAATTACTTGCTTTATTTTTATTTTTTTAAGCAAATCACCCCAAGCAAAGCAGGAGTGCCACTAGCACGCAAGGAGTTACAGAGAATGAGAGTAAGAGTAAAGAGGAGTGTTTGGGAAAAGGATAAAGAGAAAAACAGGGATCAAGGTCAAGGCATCAGAAGATGTTGATTGACATTACATTTGAATATTTGAAGATTATAGATATCAGGGAAGCAAGTGATAGTGTTCTACTGACAGGAGGTGCAAGATAAGAAGCTGTTGGAGAAGAAGAGATGGCTACATTTAGCCATTTCGACAATGAAAGGGTTTTCTGAGATGCCAACCTAGTAGCACGCTTAAATTCATGCAGTTTGGGAACCAGTGAAAATAGCTCGTCAGAGCAGTTACCATGAAAATATTTGTAGAAAAGACAGAGGGAAGCCACAGCATGTCTGAGAAAGTGACAGTAGACAAGATGCCAGATCAGGACCAGTCACATTGCATATCTGTCTTTGGAATTTTTTTTTTTTTTTTTGCTTATCCTTGTACATCTACATATTTTATGGCTTCAGATTAGCTTATGGCAAGTAGATAAATTTTTCATAAGAAAAATAAAATGCATAAAATTGTTCATTATAATTATTATGAATTATTATGATAAAATCCTTGAAGTGTTTATCTTAACAATGACTTAAAGTTGGCTGGAAAGCATGGAGCCAAAAGGGAGTTTCACAAGCGAGAAGTGTGTGAACTGTTTGCATAGAACTTACAGCTACATCAAGCCAGCTCAACTGTAAATTGATGAAATCTCGACATCAGTCTAGTCCCGTGCTTAAATTAAAAAAGTCTAGGTACCATCTGAACACTTACCATGAAAGTATGGTTCTTTTTGGTGACTGGGATAGACTTGAATTCATTTGATAGAAGTAAAAAAGAAAAATGAAAAGGAAGGTAGATCACTAAGTAAAAGACCCCCTCCTCCCCACTTGTACCATCACCACCCACCCCAAATGATAGGTAGTGATATGCTTTCATCCATGGAAATTTTTCATCTTTGTTGTCTAGATCTCTGTATTTTGGTTGATATACTCTCTGACCTTCCTCAGGTGATACTTAAATAGAACCCTTCATTTCATTCTGAGAAATATATATTATTTTATCAAAGCCAATATCTGCCATAAAAGAATTGTGAGTTTAATACTTTTAAAAGATAGTGAATATGAAATGAGAAATGAAACATCCTTTTTTCAGCAAAATGTTGGATTTTCTTAAACTCCACCAAATTTGCCAGATGTGATATACACTTGAGAAAAAAATAGTTTCTTGACCAAAATGTACAGATATATAAAAAAATACAAGAATTTACTTTGAAACATCTTACTTATTATAAAACGCAGGTTGTGTGTGTGTCTGTAACGTTTATATGTTGGATCAAATTTCCTACATTTTTTAGCCGATTTCAACAAAACTTCACAAGACTACATAAAATTACCTTGTGGTGGTTCTAACGGGACCGAAAATGGGGAAAAATACAGTTGTTTTTAATAAAATCAATTTGAATACACGATTAAGACACATCGTGAGAATGAAAGGGGAGAACTCACCCACGAAAATGTAAACAAAAGAGCATAGCATGATGAAAAAAAGACGGACTTGAAAACAAAAAATTTTATCGTCTAATGTTCATATTATTATTAAAGAGGAAAGATCAAAGTATTTTGGGGGTATTTTGTTTACATTTTTTAATCATTCCTAGCACGTCTGAAATTTTCGTTAAAAATATTGTTTTTTTTTTTTTTGGTCAAAAAAAAGGGCAGATAATCATTTTTAATCATTTTTTTCGATTTGATAAAAAAGATTAAAATCTTACTTTGATATTCTTTTAAAAGTCAATTATCATTTTTTCAAAACTGATTTTAATAAAAACAGATATTATACTGTTTATTTAAAATATTTTGAACCAAGCTTAACTTAGCTTCTGCGCCGAAAAAATGTAATTTGAAAATAAAACAAAGCAGGTCATAACCTTTTGCATCGCTTGATGATTGACAAAAGGCACATTCATGACGTTTAGATAACTTACAGGAGGAGAATTCTTTCTACGGATGGAAGGAAGTGAAATTATTTAAGTGAACAAATTATTTACCTTGTTACTTTTAAGGAAAACTTTCAGCGCTCTAATTTTTTATTTTTTATTTATTTATTTTTTTTTTGTACTTAGCTTTCATTTTTACGTTTATGATGCTTTATGGAAAATATAAAGAAATTAAAAAATAAGACTGTTAATAGTGAGATTAAATTTCATAAGAAAAGGTATCTAATTAATTTAGGTACCTTTCTTATGAAATTTTATCAGAAGTGTACATGAAATACTATAATTTTATGTACATTTATTACATTTTACTGTGTTATTTGTATTTCCATTCATTTTATTATTAATTTTGATATTTCATTTATGGAAAAATGTCATAACTGAGATTAATATAAAGATAAGATCATATAAATTAAAGTTTAGCAGTAGTTAAATTTCATAAGATGATACTGTTACTTGTAGGTACACTTCTCAGTTGAAATTGAAAAACTCAAATTAACTTCTCCATACGTGTTTCACAAAAAGTAAAGGGCTTAACAGCGGAGAACAATGCTGAACTCAAATAATGCAACTAAATTGTATTCTGGTTGGTCTTCCGTACTTGATAATTACTGTCCGACTATAAACACAAAATTACATTTCTTAATTACCATGGCTAATCTGATTGGTCCAAATTATACAATTTTCAAAGCGCTAGACAATGACAATCTCACACGGACATTTTGAAAGGTTGATGTTGCTTTTAACTAATGTTAAAATATATTTTTTTAATTCAATTTAAACATTTTTAAAAATCTTTTTTTAAAATTAAAGAAATAAGAAATAATTGTATTAAAATTCAATTTTCATTGAAAAAATTTTTTTGCTTTCAGAAAATATTGTCCATATTCATAAAAACAAATAAAAGCATTTGAAACTAAATAATATATTTGTTTTATTGAGTTTTTGTATGTTACAATTCACAGCTGATTTTCAGGTACGTTGGCCAAAAAAAAAAAAAAAAAAAACATGATTTGCATTCTTCAAAGCCTTGTGCTTTTAACTATTGTAATCACTAAAACCGATGGTCTCGAATTTCTAGAGTTTTTCATAAAATTAGTTATGGGGGTGTTAATAAATATAAAAAAAAATATTTCTGCCATGACTTTAATAAAAAAAAAAAAAAATATTTATAATAATTTCGATCATCTGTGAATAGTTTCTGAAAGTTTCATTAACATCTGACAATTATTTTTATTTTTGCAAGATTTTCCAAATTAATGTGTGTAAATACAAAAAAATGCGCTAAAAATTATCTATGTTATTTACTACCCCTTGTTGCGACAAAAGAGAAACAAGGTTTTTAAATCAAAATTTAGAATATTCTAAAAAGATGGAAAAATTTTTAAAAATAATTTAAAAAAAATTTAGTCTATCCTCTTCATAAAAAAATAAGCATTTTGATGATAAAATTTTGTTTTCATAAACTTTGGCGTCTTTTTTCATCAGACTATGCTCTGTTTTAGCGATTCTGTGGAGTGACTTACGTTAAAAACCCAGGTTGTTTATATGTGTGTGTGTGTGTGTGTTTATATATGGGATCGGTTTCTTACATTTTCAGCCGATAAAACAAACATCCACTTTTTTTTTTCGGCAGGTAGTATTTCTTATTGTCTTGCACACTTTTTTTCTTTATTTACATTCAGAATGCTTTAAAATTCCATTTACAAGACAATTGTTTATAATAAAATTCTATTCACCAATTGATAGACTCATAACGATTGTAAACAATGTTTTTGTTTGGATTTGGGTTTGACCAATTCGTAAAAAAAAAAAAAAAAAAAAAAAAAAATTAAGACATACATGTCTGTCAACCTTAAACAATAATCTTTGTCAATTTTATTTTTCAGTCTTTATGATGGTCGATACTTGATCTATCTCTTACTGTTACATCCCCGGGCAACGCCGGGCTCTACTGCTAGTAATCAATAAATGACAATATTTAATCTTAATTTCAATTTTTTTTTTCAGAAAGTTGTTGACAGTGTTTTAGGATTTAAAAGACAAGAAATAGTCAATCCAACTGGACTATCTGGAACCAAGTAAGTTATAAGACATTATAATACAGCATTTTACTCAGTATAGTTTATCCAGTATGATTATTGAGGAATAGCATTTGTTATATAGGGTGCATTAGGTGAATTGTCGCCATTATATATTTTTAATTTTGCACATGTACATTGTTTGTTTTTGATTTTGTCAACAGCACAGTATAGTAGGGTCAGTTGGGCACCATTTGTGAGAAAAAGAGCACCATGATGCAATTTACTCTGCCAGAAATTTGGAAACAGTATGCTGTACTACTTGGCATTCATGCTGGAAGCTCCAATACAAACATTTCAGAGTGTTTGGGTGTCAATTTGAGGACAGTGCAGAGGATTCAGAAAGAGTTGGATGAGTCTAATGGTGATTATGAAGGTGTTTGGAGTGATCATCAGTGATGGCGATGTTATGCCTCCATTCATCTTCCCACAGGCTCTCGGACTCAACAGAGGCCTATATCAAGTGGCTTGAGGAGGTACTACTGCCCTGGGTCAAGACGGTGGCTACTGGAAGACCTTCTGTCTGACAGTGGGACACTGCACCATGCCACACAAGGAGGAGAACCAAGTCATTGGCTGTCAAACAATTTCTGTGGCCACATCTCATTGGCCACCTAATTCCCCAAACTTCAGCCTCCTTGATTATTATGTGTAGGGTGCAGTTGAGCAAGAGACTAACAAAGCTCCTTGTAATACCAAAGATGAACTGAAGGCAAGGATTATGGCAGCATTCACCAACTTAAACAAGGCAACTGTCCAGGAGAGTTGCAGGTGATTCCAAAGTGTTCTGGAAGCCATGGTTGAGAGCAATGGTGATTTTTATTGAATAAATTTACTCTTTAGTATTTCAAGATATTTTTGTGTAATTTTGTAAATATATCTATTAAAATGAGATGTCAGTGTTATTTTCATTTTTGCATAATTTAAACAATTTATCCATCGCAGCCTGTATCTGATAGTCTTGATAGGGATTGTTTATTTAGAATCTTTTACAATTCCCAAAAAGGATAAAGTCACAATCAACATTCCTTTTCTAAATTTCTCGGATGAAGAGTTATCATTATTCACACTATTTATATTTGGACTATTGTCCTCACCTTTATCATGTTTCGGCCGTTGTACCCACCAGCTTTCCTCTAACTTACAGAGAATTCTGAACAGAACCCTTTATTTAATCTAAGTTAGTAGACTGTTTTCATTCCATTGCCCATGTCTGGGAATATCATCCTGTTCTTATTCTTAGTACTGCTCAGTTATTGCTCACCCATTTCTACTGAGTCCAAGTACACATTGCTTGTCCCAGGGTTTGAACTCACAACCACTATGTCACCAAATTCACAAACCAATATTTTAATCGACTAAACATTCCTTCGGTATCTGTTTATATTTCTGAGATGAGGTATTATGTACACTATTTACATTATTCAGACTATTATCCTCATCTTTGTCGCCATATTTATTTCAACGTTTTGGCTGTTGTACGCTCTGGCCTTCCGGTGGTTGGAACAAGACCCAAAGAGTGTGAGTTCAATATCCGGTTAAGGCAGTGGAGAACTAGGAGAGGGGAATTAACAGGAGATTACTGACAACTGACATCCATTAAAACATGGCATGTGGAACTAGAACAGTTTACCCCAGTGAGTGAAATAAAGGGTTCAGTTCGACATTCCAACCACCTGAAGAAGGCCGGAGCATATGATGACTGAAACGTTGTAATAAATATGGCGACAAAGATGAGGACAATAGTCCAAATAATGTAAATAGTGTAAACATTCCTTTATTTTCTTTTTTAAACATCTTTTGTTAGATATGACAGACAAGGAGAATTTTAATTTTTTATCTAGTTTTTTTCAGCATTCATAGCGTTTGATGGGAGTTCGAGAGTACAAAAGCTGTCCATATCATCCATTGTGTTAAGCGCTTTCAACCACTTCTTTAGTCATTTTCAAGAGAGTTGTTTAGGTGTTGTTAGTTTATATTCGTGTTTTAACTGTGAGATGTATTATTTGTGAATTATACTATGAGCGTTAATTCCGGGCCATAAAGTGTATTTAAATTTCAGTTTTGCCGTGTATGAAATCCATTTTTAATATGAAAGCAAGAAAGTTTCAATCCAACTTTTTCACAAATATTTTCTTTTTACTATCTTTTAAGTTGAATTGATAAGACCTTCAGTAAGCTCTACATTGTCAGATTTTATTATGCAAGTCAATTTTTTCACAGTATAATTCATATGAAACAATTGATATTGTTATAACTTTCAGGATATCATTATATAAAGAATATATAGTGTATGAGTTTCAGTTTATAATATCTATTCTTGTTAAAAAGTATTAATAAGAATTTATTCTGGGAGTATCTGGTTTTAATATGCAAAACAAAACTCGATATAAGTTTTATTTATAAATAAATCCAACTTGCTCTAGACAGACTAAGCTATGAAGAACTTTGTCAGAGAGTGCATATTTTTCTTTAATAAAATTTCTCAAATATTCAGGCAGGTAGATGAAAATAATTAAATAAATAAACTGTTTAATAAATAAACGAAATGTCTACTCAAATATGAGTATCCACTAAAAAAAATAATGTTTAAAGTGAAAAAAAATCTGTTGGATTAATAAATAAAAATCTATTACTTCTTTAAAAAATTGCTTTGTTTACATTTGGATACAAAACTTAACAGATACAAAAATTTTGAGGAGTCTTACAAGAAGACCTTAAAGACCTTGCTTGATTGACAAAGCTTCTTTGTAGCCAAGTAAGTTAAAGCACATTTGATCTAATGATGGTTTCCTCTGCTCAGGGGGATATTGGTTTGAATCCTGCCAGAGTGCGCATATTTTCTTTAATAAGATTCCTTGAATATTCAGGTCAGTAGACGAAAATATCTTGTTTAATAAATATATGGAGCATCTACTCAAATATGGGCATCCACTAAAAATAAGGTTTAAAGTGATAAAATCTTTTGGGTTAATAAATAAAAAATCCATTATTTCTTTAGAAAATTGCTTTGTTTACGTTTTGATACAAAACTGAACAGATATGAAAATTTGGAGATACTATGATGAGAACAATTTTACTTAATGGCACAATTCAAATAAATCAAAAAGATAAACAGGCTATTATTAAAAAATATTTGATTAGCACAATATACCGTAAAGTTGACTAAATCAAAATTATCTAATGTTAATATTGATTCCTGAGTATTTTATAACTTTATATGACTTGTTCAGTGAGTTTAACTTTTCTATAGCTGAGAGCCATTCCATTTACTTTATTTTTAATCTTTCTTTTGCAAGGTGGGCAAGTTTCAGATTTACATAATGAGGAGGAGTATTATCTTGCATGAGTGTACACTTTAGCTTCAAGCATCTTTATGTTCTCTGCCACTAAAAAAAAAAAAAATTAAGAACTTACAGTAATTTTTTTTTTCTTGAGCCATCACCAATTTTGATTGGTCTTATAATTTTCCTGTCTATAATTCTATTCCAAAACATTATTTCTACTCTTGTCTTTTATTTTAATTCATATTGGCTATTTCAAGTATTTTTTTAACCATCATCAACTTTGAAAGAATATGTAATTTTACTGCTTATGTTACTATCCCAAAATATTACTCCACTGTTGCCTTCTAAGATGTATTGGTTGACTATTTCCATGAAGGACCAAACCTCTAACTCAGCCATCATAGTATAGTTCTAAATTCATTGCTAAAATGACTGTTGAAAAATCAGTGTTCCTGTACTTCTTCATCCAGTATATGTTTCTCTTTGTAATGTTTACTTAAAATTGGTAGTTTGTTTACTTTCATGTCTTTAGCCAATGTTCATAACATTCTGCCTCTTTGTTTACATTTACAACCCCAGCTTCTTCAAATGTTTTCTTGTTGGTTAATCCCATTTTCTGTCAAGGCTAGTTCTGTATAGAAACTTTAGATCTGCCCATTCTTGAATATTTTTATTATTTACATGTGGATGAATGTCTTCGTCTTTGTTGTTATCACGTCTCAGCCATTATGGCTTCTGGCCTTCTTCAGGTATCTGCTGAACCCAGTAATCTTTAGGGAATTTTGAACTGATCCCTTTATTTAATTTATGGGGATAGATTGTTCTCATTCCACTGTCTATGTCTACAAATACCTCATCTACTTATTTAGTACTGCTTAGTTATTTCTTGTTCTCTTTACATTGAACCTGTACTAGCCAGTTTAGGGTTTGAACACTTAATTACTATGCCACTAATTCACAAATCCCCTATTGACTTGAAGATTAAGTTCAAAATTCCCTGAAGGTTAACTGAATCAATAGAGTCCTGAAGAAGGCTGGAGAACTATATGGCGGAACATTGTGATAATAACAACAAACATGAGAACATTAGTCCGAATGTAAGTAATGTAAATATTAATACCTTGTCATCCCAGAAATTATACATTTAACGTTGCTAACAGTTGTAAGTTTTTGAAGTTCTTTTTGCTTTCTCTCTCTAAAGTTTAACAGCTCAAAATCCAGAACCAAATAATAATGTTACCAGTGCATTGACCTCCTCAGATGAAGCTACATCACCCAGTGACCATTCTGAAGGTTCAACGCCAGACACAAACCATGCATCTGGACAAGCACATGCTGCAGGGTGTAAGTTAATCTAAGTTTTTTTTTTTGTTTTTTTTTACCATTTAATTTGGTAGGTGTTCCACTAGGATTAGGATGGAAAGATATATTATATGAGACCAACCACTGAAAAGTCACACAGACGATTTATTTAAACTGCCCGCTGGATCCATCTTGGTCTCAGTATTCCCTAGTGATACTGGAAGTACTTACAATCATCATCATAAACATTATTGATATTGTTATAAACACCCCCCTTCTTAAGGTAATTTATTTTCTTTATTAATTTATTTCTAACTTTTCCAAATTACAAAATAATTACAAATCAAAGTTTGTTTTGGTTACAGGCCAAGGTTGAAATCATTTATTTTGCAGTTTGTATTTTTCGTCCTCAACTTGTTTTTCCAGTACTTTCTCTTATATTATTATTTGTTTGAAGATCTTTGTAATGATCATTAATTGGTTAATTAAAAGTCTATTTTCAAAATCTGAAAATGAAATGTTTCTTATTTCTTTGAAAATCTCCTTGATTCGTTGTCACAATATATGACCTGTTGTCAGTTTGCTGACTTGATCATTCCTTCGATGTTTCAAGAGTTCTCTTTTTTTATTCTATCTCCTCTTTTTAGAGTTGGTAAATTTCTCACACCATGGAATCTGTTAAAATTCTTTTCCATTCTGGTTTATGCCAGTTTGTCATGCTCCAGTTTATCATTAATGCTTGAAATGTGTTTTGATTGTTCCCAAATTCTCTTACCTATCCATTTGCTTGAGAGAAATGTGGACTTGATGTTATGTGTTTAAATTTCAATAGGAATTCCCCAACATGAGAAGAAATATTTCAACTTCCCTATCAAGCATTCACTTGTCATAGGATTAAGCTTTGCTATTTCTATATATCTCGAGAAATAATCTATTGTAGCAATATATTGGTGTCCTTGGTGAGTGAAAATGTCTTTACTAAGAACCTTTAGGACATGGTGTTAGTTTTAATTTTTCCTTTTTATTTGTTGGACAGTGTATGTTACAAAAGAAGCATTTTTTTTTTTTTCGATACTCCTCCAACTCCTGAGATATTTTAGGCCATCACACCAATTCTTTGCCTCTTTCTTGACATTTGTTTAGTCCAAAGTGACCATTATGAAGTCTCCTTAATATTTCTGGTCTCAGTTTTGCAAGTATAACAATTCTTTCCTGAAATCATAATAAATTGTCATGAACCAACAATTCATTCCAACTTGGAAAATATGGCCTTATGCCTTCCTTTATTCTTCCTTCTTTGTCCATCCATTTTGTATGAGATGTATTATTTCCTGTAATACAGTGTCCTATTTAGTATTTATTTTTATTTCATTTAATTTCTTATCCGATGCTGGTCTGGTTCTTGCCATGCAGTCTGTGTATATGCCAACATCTTTACTGTTATTACTATTAGTGTCGATAGTGCATCAGTTACAACTAGTGCCTTCACTGGAACATGCTCTGCTATTGGGTTATACCTTCACAGTCTCATCAGAAGTCTTTGATATCATAATGGGGTATTGTACAGATCATGTGTGTTTATTAACGGTAGAAGTGGTTTATGGTCCATTAACAGTTTAGAAGATTTGAGTCCAGTGACACATCTGTCAATCTTCTCATATGCTTTCTCAATTTGTGCATATTTACTCTCAGACCTTTGACTTAATTTTTTTTAATTTTTATCTGAACCTACCTAATGCTATTTAACTCCAAAATGTAAAATTTCTGTCTCAGAACTTTGTGTTCATTCTCTATATTAATATATAAGAAAAATAATTCTGACTTTTAATGTCTTCTTCAGTAAATGAAAAGAGAGAGACAAAATCTCCACCAAGTTACAAGACCTATGAAAGAAAAAAAGTAAGTTTTTTTTTTTGTTATTATCTGTTTGAATGTTGACTATTTTTTTTTGTTGCAATTACTGTTTGTATATTCAGTACCTAACCATGTAGAATATGTTCATTACAACTTGATGCACAACACAATGTTTTATTTACCTTTAGATATTGCCATAAAGACCATACACTGACCAAAATATTGTCATCAAGTATACAATTAAAACAAGGATACTAGTTTAAAAAGAATAATCGAATAGTGTTACACTGCTGCACTAATTACCAGCAACACAACAATGAACCTAGCAGCTTTGATGTTTAGGTGATGAAGACTTTAGAAAATGTAAATGATTGATATATGACAGTAGAGTTAACTGGAGAGCTAGCAGAGACCATCTCCATTTAATAAGATAATCAGGCAATTTGAGATGAAAACATGACTAACACTGGAGTTGGAACTGTGAATAGTAACAGTTACTTAAATATGTTTCGTGAGATGGTAGTGCCAGGATCTAGAACCAGAGTTAACTTCACCAAACACCAAGATGGGGCAACTTCTCATTATCTTTTTAGCAATAAGGGATTGCCTTGACTAAACCTCTCAACGATGGTTGGATCTGGCAATATAGTAGCATTGAATGGCCACCATGTTTACCCAACTTGACATCAATAGACTTCTTTTTGAGAAAAATCCTCACACCATATATAAATTAAGAGTTCATCTTGGACGCAATTATTGACATTAATGTGAATTGAAATTTGTGTTGTACTATGTTTCAAAGTATCCTGGAGAGGTTTAAGGAATGTTGCAAGGTTGCAGGAGGACATTTTTAGCACTTATGAGATTAAACAGTGTTAAACAAATGTAATTGTAATAAATAAATGTAAAAAAAAAAAAACCTGTAAAGTGTATATCTACTTTTGGTCCACCCTGTATATACATGTTGACCGTTGACTCCTATAAGAAGCTCATTGACTCTTTGACAGGTTTTTGTTTTTTGTCCTGCAGGTGACATGCTACCCTCCTCACTAGCAGAAAAGCTAGTTAGGCAGTTGGTTTAGACACCAACCACCTATCCATGCAACAGGTTGTACTGGGTTATATGTTACCAGTAGCAAACCTAAGCCTGTCCCGACATTAGAATTTTTTTCAGTGAACTCTTTCGTTGCTACTTCTCCTTCTAAGTACTCTTGAGATTCAGTTTATTTTGCATGTGTTTGGTTCTCGGCTCCCTGTCCCTTAACATAACCTGGACACAACTACCATTCCTAACTGGCCTATGAAAAGTTCAACTCTCATTTTGTTGCTATTGTTATGTTAGTGGGAATAAGGCTAACATGACATTGAGAATGACACAGGCAGTCAAGCTGATCCAAATGACTGCCTGTGTCATTCTCAATGTCATGTTAGCCTTATTCCCACTAACATAACAATAGCAACAAAATTTTATTTTGCAATTCATACACAAATTTTTATTTTAAAATTCATATAGTTATCCTCTTTCTATTTTCCTGACACCATGTATTGATACACATTACTTTCACTGTTAGAGTGAAAAATGTAGACTTGGTCAGTTTGCCTTACAGTGGAGTAATGAATAGTGACTTGGATTGAGGAATTAGAGTAATTTAATTTAAATTAGACCATTTGGTAATAGAACTACCTAGATTGAGTGATTTTTTTTTTTCTTTTTTACAGTTTATCAACCTTTTGCAGGTTATTTATATCCAGAAAATATTTTAAGAATTGTCAGAAATTTTTGGATATAATAATGATTTACTGATACAAGTCCTACTAATTAACCCATAGATGGAGGGAGAAGAGGTGGATTCATACCTCTCTCATTTACGCCTAAGTGAATATAAGAAACTCAATTGGAACTTGACTCTCCGACTTCCAATTCCAAGCTGTTATTCATTACACCACCCACGCATCCCAACTTACAACATCTTGTATTCCCAAGCAGTCACCAGTCTAGGTACTGACCAATCTTGACATTCCTTAAATTCCTTTGTATAGACTGCAGAACTGCTGAATTTCTGCATATAGGACCACAAACTGATATTGGTAAACTGCTGCCAATATTTAGTATAGCAGATAGCATAAATAGAGCAGAGAGTCACACATGCAAACAATTACAAAACCTACTACAGAAGGTAACGAATGAGAGTGAGAAGAAGGGACTTAAGTGTAAACTAAAAGAAGAAAGAATGCATGGTCATCATTAAAAGGATGAGCCCAAAATGTAATTTGCAGGTCGGGGACACTAAAATCCAGCAGAGTTTAAATACCTGGGAAGTGTTTTGAGAGATGACAGTAAGTATGACACTGAGATCCATAGATGTATTGGGATGGCCAATGACGCATTCCAAAAGCTGGGCAGAGTATTGCGAGACAGGAGGATTTCTCTGGTAACAAAGAAAAGAATACTGAACTATTACATGACATCTGTCCTTCTTTACGGCAGCGAATGTTGGACGGTTTCCTCAAAGATGAAGAAGAGACTCAAGTCGATGGAGATGTAGTTCTACAGAAGGATTCTAAGGATATTATGGACCGAGCGTGTAAGCAACGATGAGGTCTTAGAGAGGATGCAAACAAGGAGGAGGCTTATACTTAACATCAAGAAGAGGCAGCTGAAGTTTCTGGGACATATAATGAGGAAGGAGGGCCTGGAGAATCTGATACTTACGGGTCGAATAGAAGGAAAGAGAGACAAGGGTAAACAACGCGTGACATACCTGGTGGGCTTAAGTAAGTGGATGTGATCTGAGGGAGGTAGCAGAAGAAAGGAAATTGTTGAGAGCCGCTAGGGATAGAGAGAGGTGGAGAGCCATGATCACCTACATCCTAAAATGACGTGGCACATAAAAAAAAAAGAAAACATCTCTGCTTTTTATATTAAAGATGAGAAAAATCTACAGTTGTATTTTGTTTGTATTGTATTTTGATATGCTAAATCTAATTTTAAATTACTTGCAACAATTTCATATATGTGGATGTCTATATGTACTACATATTGCTATAAATGATTTTGTGCTTAATATTTCTTTTCTATATTTATTTTAGACAGGAAAGAATAAAAAGCGACGTTCAGAAAAAAAGGCACCTCGGCTTCAGAGTTTGGAATTTTGTGTGGATGATATTAACTCAAACCAAAACTTAACTAAGTAAGTGTACATTACAAAATATAATTGATAATATAGTGGATGTGTGAATGAAACAATTCGGTTTAATACAGATCTTGATTTTAATGTGATTATTTTAACGCCAATTTTAATTGACACATTTGATTTAATCTAGTTTCTTTTAAAAGTTGGTGTACCTTGTTGGCTGTTTTCTTAGATGACATAAACACAACCACCTTAACCCATTAACACCCTGACGTAAAATCTAGTATTAAATATTAAAATTAGAATAAAAATCCAGTATTAAGTATAGGTTCTTTAAAAAAAAAAAATATTTGGTTTTAAGTATAGGTTCTTTAAAAAAAAAAAAAATATTTGGTTTTAAGTATAGGTTCTTTAAAAAAAAAAAAATATTTGGTTTTAAGTATAGGTTCTTTAAAAAAAAAAAAAAAATATATTTGATTTTAAGTATAGGTTCTTTAAAAAAAAAATCTAGTATTGGTCCTGAGCTGGCATCTTGGTTCCAGTCACTTACTTACCATTTTAATGTAGCTTCCCTTTGCCTTTTCTATAAATACTTTCATGGTAATTATTTTGATGAATGTTCCACTATAATACCTAGATTTTATGAATTTAAGCACACTACTAGATTGGAAACAAGGTTCATCAATTTACAGTTTGCAGTTGAATTCAACCGTAAGTTCTATGCTAACAGTTTCTTTTCTCACACTTCTCACTTGTGGAAATCTCTTCTGGTTTCATGCTTTCCAACCAACTTTAATCTTCAAAAATTTAAATGCAATGTCAATCATTACTTACTGTCTTCTTGATTCCTCTTCTTTTATTGCTCTTACTCCTGTTTCTCTTTTTCTTATTCTTTCACAGTCGGTAACAAATTATATATATTTTTTTAAAATCCAGTATCATAGGCATGGTGGTGTAATGGATAACGACTTGGATTGAGGAATCAGAGAGCCGAGTTCGAATTTCAGTCGAATCCATTACATTCACTTACATGCTAATACCTTTGGGAAAGGTATGAATCCCCTTCTTCTCCCCCTAGCTGTGCGTAAATAGCAGGACAGACGGGGTTCTATAGCCTTGGATGGCAACTGGTCTACCGCAGAAAGAAATGGCAACCTACTGCGGAAAAAAAAATGCCTCATCAGTCATGTATTGAGAGTTACAGGATTATCTAATCGTGTATCATGGATGGCAAATAACTGGCTGACTGATGATAGGTCTATTAAAAATCAGGTATGTTTATATAATTACTTACAACCTATTAATACCCACTGTTCTATTTTTGGTTCAGTGAATCTCAGTGGGTTAAACAACTGGCTGTATCTGTTAACTGATATGTGAGAACTTGAAATATATTTATAAAAATTACAAATCCAATTGGTATGAAATAAATAACAATAGATCAGCAATTCTCAACCAGTGTGCCCTGAACCATAGGCAGGTGTGCCCGAAATTAACAGAAGAGTATTTTATGAATTGATATTTTTATTCTTATAACAATTATAAGCTGATAAAACCTTTAGTTAGAGACTAAATCTGATTTATAAGATTTGAACTTGGGAGGGACATATATTCTTTTATAAGTAATAAAAATGTAAAAAAATTTCAGTGATGATACTAAAATATCTAATGCTTTTTAAGTAAATTGTAACTGTACTATTCCCTAGTTTCTTCACTAATTTACAAAATCCCAAGTATATATAATATTATTTTCAATATTCTATAATATTCAAAAAGGCAATTTAAAGAGCATGCAGAAGAGGATATGTATGCATATAAAAAGAATGAATTATTGATGCCACATGAAATATAATCTTCTATTAAAGAGTGCCACAGAATTCTAGTTTTTCTCCAAGTGCACCCTGAAGTAAAAAAAAAAAAAAAATATGGTTGAAAAACATTGATCTAGATGAATAAAAGATATTTGAAGAGATTTGTAGAGAAAACAATGTTGAGACATTTAAAATGGTTTCATCCAATGCAAACTTTTCAGGGTTGCTAATGTTGCTGAACCTGGAAAAAGTATAAAGCTGTTTCACAGAAAAAAAAGTTAATGAATTTAAACATCAAACCATATAATAATTGTCAATGTGTATTTATTTTTTTATATACTTCACATGTATTTATGTTTCCTGTCTCATCTCTAGTGGGAAGGGAGGTAAATCAACTTTAGTAAATTTATGAGTGATTACTTCCCTTATTTTAATAATCTATACAAATAAAATGTTTATCTGCTTTTAGACAAAATTAGTTCTCAAGCAAAATAAACTGTTTAAATAATCAGTTCCTTTACTCCTTTTGTTCAAGCTTTTCATGTGAGGCACTCTGATACCTATGTCTATTAAGTGATCATCTTGCTTCAACTTGGTCTTGAAATAGCTCTTGTCATTGCCGTCTTTGTCGTTTTGTTGCTAATTTTTTTCTTGAGAGATATTTCCATTTTACTGTTGTATTAAACACAAAATGTTTAACATGAAAAGATATTGATCAAAAAGTCATTTGTATAATATGAGGAGTAATCAATGAAAAATAGATGTCATTGAATGTTTAAAAAAGATATAAAGGGAACAGATTAATTAAATGATTTATTGGCCCCTGTTTTAGTTGTGAATTCTTTATCTCTGTTTTATTTAATTGTAATACATTGTTTCAAGACTTTGGTTTCATTGCATCTTACTATTAAAACTTTGCAACAATTGCCAATACGAGTACACTAGTATACTTAATAATTGTCAATTTTGAATAGTTCAACTTGTTTATTTAATATGTATTAATAAGGATGCACATGTAGTGGTTATCAGCACAGAAAATGGTGTCAAATATACCACATTCAAATTCCAGTTGACTTTGTTGTTTTCGCTTTCATACAAATACTCTTGCTAGTGGTTAAATAGCAGAGCAAACACTCTTGCCATGGTTGACTGTTAGTTTAGGACAAGGATAAATTTCAATTAAAAAAAAATAGTTGGTTGTGGGATTGGCAACTCCACTCTGTAAAAAAAAAAAAATACTACAGAAATCACAGCAGCTACATGGTGAAGCTGTGGCCCTATTCTCCACTGAGGAACTATATTAATTAAATATGCATGTCAATCATGGCTATCCATGACTACCTGTTTTTTGTTGCTCTAACATGCCTTTTATCCATTTTACTGTCATCCATTCACACAAAAGTCACTCACTTTTCCTTCTGCTTCTCTTACCTTAAATATTTCCTATTAGTGTTGAATTCTCCAAGCCTTCTTTCCTCATTATGTGTCCTAGAAATTTCATCTCTTTCTGATTATATTTATAAGTGTCCTTTTAATTTGTTTTCCTAAAAACTTCATTGTCACTCACATGTTCAGTCCGTGATGTTCTAATTATCTGTCTGTCGAACCACGTCTCTGTCACATCAAGTCTCTTCTTCGTCATTAACAAAATTGTTTAACATTCACTGTCATATAGATTAAATATTACGTTGTAGTTCAGCATTCTTTTCTTTGTATAACACTTCTGGGGTACTATTGTTAGTCATGGTACCACTTTATAATACTTTTCTCCCTGACCCACAGTCACTAGGGTCTTATCATTTCTGGCCGTTGCTTCTTGATGGTTGGATTGCTATTCCTTCGTTCCAGCTGATGGTCAATTCATCAATCTTTTATCAGTCATACCCAGCCCATGTTTTTGTTTTTTGTTGTTTTGTTTTGTTTTTTTTTAATCCTGTAAAAGATGTATCTGACAAAGTCTGCCAAATATCTGGAAAAAGAAGAAATTGGTCCTACTAGTTATATTCTAGCAGCATTATAAATAACTTTTACCAAGGAATAAGTCAATGCACTTCTTATAAACAATAACAAGTTGGTTCAATTTGATGTCTGTAATATTCACTACTGTTGATGCTGTTAATGTAAACATTAATTAAACAATATGGGACCATTGGTTTAGATAGTTTCTCTGTATATTGGCAAGGTAATTATTACTAGGGACCAATACATTTGCTGGGGTATGACTTCTGATGACTTCTTTTGTCATCTGTTCTTTGACTACACTTCCTGGTGACTGTATACAGGTGGCTAGAAACTGAACCTTTACTTGCTCCACTTCTCCAACAATATTCTCCCCAAGTGATTGGTGACTACTGTGCACTTGAATAAATAGGGGTTTCTGTTAACCCCCCCCCCTGCCATTATTCATCTTGACTGGTCAATTCTGACCACATGGTTCCCAAGAGGCAGTCTTAATTTATACACAGGAGCTCTTAATTTCAGCAACCATGCAATTTCAGGGATTCCCCAATTTCCTGTACACATACTTACTGTGTCTCGTGACTGTGATGCCAGCAATGTCTAAGATTTGCTGATAAACAATTTTTGACCCTGTCAGCTGTTTAGTCAAAATACCTATTGTTTCAAATCATGGTTACTGTTTTTTGAATTATCTAGATCCCACAGCCATGAGTGAATACATTTTCTAGCCATGGGAACTCATATTTTCATTTTAACCTTTTTCAAACTATTTAGATTATTTTTATTGTCTTCCAAAATCTGCAATATTGTCAGGTTCCATACTGTTACATTTGTTATTAACAAAATTTTCCAATCTGTTAATACTTCGTTGAGTTTCTAGAAGTTATGTTTTGCTATTCCTATGCAAAAGGTCAATTACACATTTTAAAATGGGATGTCTTCTCTAATTTGTATATCCATGAAATAAAACCTTTATGGTAATAAGAACTAGGTATATATATATATATATATATATATAAGAAAAAAGGAGAGCAGAATAGTGTTTGGTATTATCAATAAATAGTAAAAGTCCACAAAATTTTACTAAAAATTAATTCAGATGCTTTCAGCAATATTTTTTTAAGAAATTTTTTTTTTTTCTATTTTTAACTTTATAATTTCCAAAAAAATTAATTCCAAAGATGATATCAGTGTATCGTTTTGACTTTATATTTTTGCATGAATATAAATATTCTACACAGATACAACTGAACACTTTCACTTTGTTTCATTTTCAATTTGCCAAGAAGAAATTGAATATTTGTATTATCAATAACACTTTTTTGTTTTCTTCTATTTTGAACTATTCTACTATCAGTTGGTCAGTTTGGGTACCAAACAAAATGGTGACACAAAATATAAATCTCCATCCTGTATATATGAACATTTTTATCTTGATATATTATTTAGTACAGATTTATATAATGGTGGGTCATTTTTAATACCACATTTTTATAAAAAATGACCCACCAATATTAGAAAAGTGGAATGAAATTTAAACTATGATGTTTACAAAAAGAAAATGTTTATATGAAGAGATCTTTTTTGTCTAGTATGTATAAACTGTTGTAATTAATCTTAATTATTTGCATCCTTGTTTTTAGTGGCTTTCAACCTGAAACCAACGAGGACAAAGAATTACAGCAGTTCTTAAGTGAATCCTCAGAAGAAATCGAGAAAGAAAATCTCCTCCTGTAAGTAGCACACATACATATATATTTTGAAGAAAATTTACTGTTTAACACTTTGCCAAACTAGACCAGTATAACAAAATATTTTCTCTATTATTTAATTTGACAATCTTATAGTGCCCATTGTTTGACTAGTGGAACATATTTTAAAGCCTGAAGTAACATCATCAGTGGCCAAGATGAACCAGGAAAAAGCAGCAGGATCAGATGGGATTGTAATAGATGCTAGCAGACTTAGACAATTTCAACATTGACAAAATTACAGAAATAAAAAATAAAATATACAACAGTGGTGACATATTAGAAGACCATAGATTCATTTTCATAGCAGGTAGAATTGAATGTAAGCTCCATTGGACAATCAGCCTAATAAGCCACATAAGAAAACTTATCTGCATTCTCAATCCTGGGTATGACAATAAAACTACATCTGCGTCCTGGATAAGGTGATAAACTACATCTAACAGCAAGGCCTCTGATCAGGAGGTTTTGAGGAGCATGGAACCACCTCTTAATTGCTGGTGTTCCCAGGTCCATCCTGACCCAAGGTGGTAGCACCTGTTAGGGTCCTAGCTATGGGTAAATAGTTAACACCCAAACTACTGTCAAAACACTATGAAAGTGTAAAAATAGAATTTAATACCAGAGATACTTTGTAAAAAATTATTACCAGCAATAAATTTATGAAGAAAAATTATTACCGGCAATACATTTTTGAAAAAAATATTACCGGCAATAAAAATCTTGTCAGCATTAAATAGCCCATTGAGGTTAACATGCGTAAAACAAACCAAATCATTATCTGAATTCTGATGAATAGAGAGCATAGCAAATTTAGACCAGAAATAGAACAAGAACAATGCAGTTTCATTAAAGACACTGGAACAAGAAATGTGATATTTATAATTAGAATGATATCAGAAAAAGCAATACAAATGCAGAAGGATGTATTCCTATATTTTAAAGATTATGCAAAGCATTTTTGAACTGCTAGGTAAACTTGATTTATTTGGGAAAGATGTTAGAATAATCCAGAATTTATACCAGGAGAAAACCACCTGCATACGAATATAAAATATATTGTTGTAGTAAAGAAAAAAAAAATATAAACTTGTTGTGGCAAGAAACACCTGCAATAGGTTTCTTCTGTCTCTCGACCGCAGCACTTGTAGCCAAATCACAGTTCAACGATAGCCTGTCATAACAGCCCAACAGGCAACGTAGAAACGACAAAATGAGGTCACAAATCCAATCTTCACTTCTCACCAGCAAAAACACGTTTGTCTGCCAAGCCCAGAAAAAACCCTGCCATTGTAAGCGAAAAACAACGGCTTTTATTCACCGAGTGATTTTTCTGATTGGCCATGCCGTTAAGGGGAGAAAAGAACATTAGCATAGATTCTGATACTTAAAGTGGCAGATTTTTGCTAACTACTTTCGGTAATTTTTATTTGGCAGATCATACACAAAACACAAACTCATTTTCAAAGTAGGTGATTATTTCTTTCACTACAGAAAGACAAGAACTTGTCTTGTCACTAGACTTGTTAAGCTTTTACCGTGAGGTGATTGAGAGAATTAGAAATCCAACTAGAATCCATTATTGGTGGACACTGTCTTAACAACAAAAGATATGAAAATGATAAAGTGTTGATAGTAGCCACAGAAAAGAAACAGCAAGAAATCCTATAGAATATAGTAAAGGAATGTGAGAAGAAAGGACTAAACAACCAACTGTAAGAAGACAGACTGCATGTTTGTCCTAAAGAGGAACAGCTCAATATGTGAACTATAAATTGAAGATACCAAAATCAAACGTGTGAAAAATTTAATATCCAGGAATTGTTTTGGCAGGATGGAAAACGTGACACTAAAATCCAAAGGTACATTAAAATAGCAAAAGATGCCTATCAAAAATTAACCAAAGTATTAAGAAACAGGAAAAGTGCTGAATTATTGTGTAATCAGTCTTCCTATATGGTAGTGAATGCTAGTCAATCTCCTCTCAGATAAAGGAGAGATTTGAAGAAACAGAAATGTGGTTCTACAGAAGGATGCTGAGAATACTAATGGCTGAAAATATGAGTCATGAAGTTTCAAGGAAAATGGAAACAAAATGGACACTTATAATTAAAATCAGAAAGGGGCAATTGAAATTTCTTGGACACATAATGAGGAAAGAGGATTTGGAAAATTTGGCACTCACAGGATATACTGAAGGCGTGAGAGAAGAAAGCAGTGAGTAACCTATCCAGCAAGCTTGTGAAAATGGATTCAGAAGGTTAGCAAAAAGACATAACTTACTAAGAGCTACAAAAGATTGGAAATTGTGGAAAGTCATGAAGGGACACAGTACAAAGAAGAATAACAACTAAGTACATATTTTAGTTTGTTTTTTTTTTATGTATATTATTGATAAAATAAAATCAAACTTAATGCTTGTCTGGTATCAAAAAAATGTCTTAAAATATGTTTCATTAGTGGAACAATGTTCAGTAAGGTTCAAAATATGATTTTAATTTGTAGACTTAAAATCTTTTTTAATCGTCTCACCTCAAGCAAAACAAAGCCCCTAAGACATACAGGATGTTACTGAGTGTGAAAGAATATGAGAAAAAGAACATTATTATAAGAGAGAACAATAAAAGAACAGGAATTAAGAAGAGAGAAGATAATGATTGACATTACATTTAAATTTGTAAAGATCAAAGTTGAATGGTAAGACAATAAACTACATCTGCATCCTGTTTAAACTACGTCCAGCAGCAAGACCTCTGATCAGGAGGTTTTGAGGAGCATGGAACCACCTGTTAATTGCTGGTGTTCCCATGTTCACCCTGACTTTGAGTGGTAGCACCTGTTAGAGCCCCACCTAAGGGCAAATTGTTAACCCCCAAACTGCGGTCTAAACACTATTAAAGTGTAAAAATAGGTATCATTACCAGCAATACATTTTTGGAAAAATATTACCAGCAATAAAAATCTTGTCAGCATTAAATAACCCTTTGAGGTTGATATGCCGTAAAATAAAACAAATCAAACCAAACCAAAAAACAGAAAGAGAGTACTACAAGCCAGAAATGTGAGAGAAGAAACTGTTAGTAATAGAACTTAAAATTATATCTAACAATTTCAACTGTAAAATGATGGGACCTAGCTACCAATGTAGCTTAAATCTGTAAACTTAAGGTACCAAAGAGGAATGCTCATCAGGACAATTACCATGAAAATATTTATAGAAAAAAACAAAATCTTAATGAAAATATCTTGACCTAGGGTAGCACTACCTCCTCAAGGCACTTGATATAGACCTCTGTGTTGAGTCTAAGGCCCTCACCAACAAATTCAGGAGGTCTTTTTTTTTTTTTTTTATCAGAATGATCAGTGAGTTTTCCAAGCTGCTTGTACCTTCATAGTCACCATTAGACTCATCCAACTCTTACCTAATCCTCTGCACATTTCCAAATTTCTGGCAGAGTGAATTGTCATGGTTTTTCTTTTTAGAAACATCATTGATAATTATTTATTTTAAATACATACTTTTATTATTTTATGTAAGTTTGTTTACTTTAATTAAAAATATATCCATTTGTTTTTTGGCTTTTTTTTTTTTATTCAAAAGAAAATTTCTGCCCCCTCCCCCCCAGTCTGATTTGTATTCAAAACAGGTAAGTCCAATAACTCTGTAAAATTCAGAGATCAATTTAACACTGTATCAATATTATAAATGATAAAAAAATTGTTCCACTGCTCATATCCAGGGATATTGTTTAGTTTTTATTTTTATTTAGTACTGCTCACTTATTGCTCATCCATTTCCTCAGAGTGCATGTATACTCTCTACCCAGAGATTGAACTCACAATTCACAAACCAATGTTTTAATCCACTAGGCTATTGTCCCATAAGACAATTTGCTGTAATGAACTCAGTGCTTTAAACTTAAGCTACCTGCTGATTAGCTGTCATGTTTTGACTACTGATACTGTTGAAGACTTGCTGTCATTTGTCTTTTTTATTAGCATCTCCCTTATTGTATTTATTTCTATACTAGGACTACTAATCATCATAGCCTAGTATATGTGCTGATTCTTTCAGATGTCTAACTCTCCAGTGTTCTTCCTTATCTAGTATTTTCACTTCATTCCACAGGGGCTAATGACTATGCCTTTTCCTCCATACATGATCAGCCATGCCCGATGTCATTGTCTCACCTCTCACTATAGCTTTTCAATGTTCATCCAGCCTTACTTTTAGTGGGTGGCTTGTTTCATCTTTGTTCTATGCTGGACAATCTACAGCTGCAAAGAATTGAGGACACACAATTCTTGGTCATGTTCTCCCCCTATGTTAGGCTTTACTCAGCAGAGATTTCCCCGTAGAGTGGAACTGCTTCTGAATATTGTTCTAATGTTGTATGGATTTCCAACCTTCTTAATCTTTTCTGATAAGCCATTGACCATGGAAATTTTCTGGTTGTCTTCTTTGTCCCTACCTGTAGATGCTGATGTTATGTTTGCTGGGTAGTTTTTTATTCTGAAGGGTACATTTGATGCTGAGAATTTCTTGTTGGTACATGTCTAGGTTGCCACTTATGAATTTGCAATCTACCCACATACAAATATTTTTCCAGCATGTGACCAAGTCAAGTTTCCCACCAATTTGCTGCAATCCTGTCACGTGATTACAATAATTATAAATAGCAGACACAATCTTGCTTTCTCTCTCTCCCCTTTCTTCATTCGCCTAAGAAGATGGGATCTTCAGGATTCTCATCTAGACCATGGGTGGCCAGACGTAAAAGCATATTCATGCATGCATGTATGTACAAACATTTCCAACCTACATTACAAACATACAGAACATTTCCAAACATGCAACAAGAACTTTTCTCTTTGAAATATTCCTCTAAAACTACAGTTTATTCAGCATTTCTCAGTTTTATAATTAATTCAACTTTTGTGAGTTCAGATAAAAATATTTACAGTCTAAGAGACATAACTCC